GAAGAAACAGAATACCACAGTACTGCCAGTTACCCTTCTAGAAATCAACTTTGTCTTATAACTCTGATTGGTACTGTCCTGTATGGAACTTCACATGTAAGAACTCAAACAGACAAGCTCATTTGTACTGGCTTCCTTTCCCCACATGGTGGTGTTTTTCACTGCTATACAGAATGTTCGAACCTGTAATTTATTTATGTATTTCACTATTGACAAACATGTGTATTATGTCTAGGTTTTTGTCAGTTACATATTGTATGCTTTTTTTTATTGTTTGGGTTTTTCCCCCTGTGGTTTTGTTTTGTTTTAGGACATTGTTTGCTATGTAAGCTCAGTGTGGCTTGGAACTTGCCATGTATCACAGTCTAACCTTAAACCCAGGACTCTCTGCCTGCCAGATTCTAGGATTTCCAGTATATTCTGCTAGGTTTATCTTTTATTCATGATGTAACTATACATAAATACACATGGGATAATTTTCTGGATCATTGTATGTGTGGTGTTTATTTTATACTCTCAATTTTCCAAAATGATTGTTCCAATATATATTCTTTAGGGAAAGCAAAAGTGTGCATATATTTTTTAAGGTTCTATTATTCTTGGGTCTGAATATTAAATTGGGACTGAATTTGACAAATTATAGTAAATTATGAAACTCAACCAGGATAGTTAATTTGGTGAAGTATCTAGAGGGATAGAGACTCACCTAATGAGATGTTTTTGCATGTATTTTCCTGTCCTGAACCTGCCATTCTTAGTCAGAATCATGCTTTTTCTGTGTGATGGTACATCCTAGAACTTGGAGGCAGGGAAGGGAATGTTACTCTCTTTCTAGAATAGGGAGATAGTAGCAGTAGCAGTAGACACACTTCCTGATAAATAAAAAGCAAAAGCAGGTGACATTGCTTCTTTATGTCTCTGGAATACATTGGAAGGTACTACTCACTTTGAGGGAAGATCTTCCCTTCAGTTACTACTCTCTGGAAACACCCAGAAGGGTATGTTTTAGGACAGTGATTCCCAACTTTACTAATGCTACAAGCCTTTACTACAATTCCTCACATTGTGATGTTCCCCAACTGTAAAGTTATTTCTGGGCTACTTAATAATTATCATTTTGCTATTGTTATGAATCATAATATAAATATCCAACATGTAGGATAACTGATATGAGACCTCCTAAGGGGTGCTTACCCACAGGTTGAGAACTGCTGTCTTAGGTGATTCCAGATCCTGTCATGCTGACAGTCCAGATAAGCCATGGCACAGATATTCCACAAACATTGTCTATTTCTAAACATAGGTTGTTATTCTGTAGCCTGTGTCTCCTTACCTGAGTGTCCCTAATGTACTGTCATAAGCATAAGTGCTTCTCCTTCAAAATGGTTTTCTCACTTTTCTTAATTCTTATCTTTTTACTTAATTTGTAAATCTTTAGTATTTTTAGAGTGACATTATGACTATATCATTCTTCTAATTTTTTTCCTAAGTACAGGCCTACAGCATTTTGATAGCTTTATAAACAAAACAAACAAACAAAAAATGCCTGAGGCTCACTCTGTAGCTCATTTTTGCCTGAAACCTGCTGTGAAGCCTAAGCTGGCCCTAAACCTGAGGTCCTTTTGCCTTTGTCCCCGAGAGCTATAGGCATGTGCTACTACAGCAGGCTCTGTGATAGCATTTTATCCATTAAGATTTATTGATTCATTCTGTGTGCTTAGCACTTTCCTAAGTATTATTGTAAAAATTAATGGAAGTATAAGATGTTATCTTGGCCCACATGAAGTTAAAATGTAATTGAATGGGAATAAACTGATTATTAACCCACAGTAAAGTGGTAATGGTGTGAGGAGAGATTTGGAATGGCTCATAAAGATTTGATTTGAAAAGCATAAAGATCTTTATGGACAAGAACTCAGATGTGAATGCAAGATAGATGACAAATGAAAAGTGGTGTGTGTGTGTGTGTGTGTGTGTGTGGTATGTATGTATGTATGTACGTACGTATGTACGTATGTGATCATTAGGAACTAAGAGTAATAGAAGTAGTCTGTGCCTCGTAGAACTGATGAAATAGATTAAAGAAGCTGTAATAATTACAAGAAAGTTGGAGGATGCAATCAGTATTCATGACTAGAATATGTCAGAGCAAGTAAGAGGAGGTCAGCTATTATAAGGCCTTTGTTGTTGTTGTTAAATTTGGCAGTTTAGAAATAACCCTGAACAAAAATGCTTGTGCCCTTGGCTCAGTAATTCAATTTCTGAAGCTTCCAGAAAAGCATTCCAAATGTTTGATGATAGAAAAAGGGACCAAACCAACATTTTGAAGTAACTTTTTCACTTTCTTTGTATTTCTGCCTCTTGACACCTTCTCTTTACAAATCTAAGTAAATTCTCTGGAGTCTGGGGATGGAAGGATGATGGGCTATCCCCGAGTCAGAAACGAGATAGTCCTTGATTGGGTTCTTCTCAGTTGAAAGAGCTGGAAGATCTTAAAATCAAAACAGGTTGTTTTTCTTTTTAAATTTATTTGGTGTGTGTGTGTGTGTGTTAATTAATTAATTAATTAATTAATTAGTTTATTTATTTAAACTCCAAATTTTATTGCCCTCCCGTCCACCCTCCAACTGTTCCACACCTCATACCTCCTCCTCGCCCCTCTGTCTCTATGAGGATGTCCCCATCCCACCAGACCTCTAAACTCCCTGGGGCCTCCCTCCAGTCTCTTGATGGTTAGGTGCATCTTCTCTGACTGAACCCAGACCCTGCAGTCCTGTGCTGCATATGTGTTGGGGGCCTCATATCAGCTGGTGTATGCTGTCTGGTTGGTGGTCCAGTGTTTGTGAGATCTCAGGGGTCCTGGTTAATTTAGACTACTGGTCCTCCTACAGGGTCACCCTCTTCCTCAGCTTCGTCCAGCTTTTCCCCAATTCAACCACAGGGGTCAGCAGCTTCTGTCCATTGGATGTGTGCAAATATCTGCATCTGACTCTTTCAGATGCTTGTCGGGTCTTCTGGAGTTCGGTCATGATTGATCTCTTTTTGTAAGCTCTCCTTAGCCTCAGTAATAGTGTCAGGCCTTGGGGCCTCCCCTTGAGCTGGATCCCTCTTTGGGCCTGTTGCTGGACCTTTTTTTCCTCAGGTTCCTCTCCATTTCCATTCCTGCAGTTCTTTCAGACAGAACAATTATGGGTCAGAATTTTGATTGTGGGCTGGCAACCCTCTCTCTTACTTGATGACCCATCTTCCTGTTGGAGGTGGGCTCTCTAACTCCACTCTCCCTACTGCTAGGCATTTCATCCAGGGTCTTTCCCTTTGAGTCTTGACAGCCTCTCACCTCCCAGGTCTCTGGTACATTCTAGAGGGTCCCCAACCTCCTACCTCCTGAGGTTGCCTGTTTCCATTCTTTGTGCTGACCCTCAGGGCTTCAGTTCTTTTCCCTCATCCAATACCAAATCAGATTCCCCTATTCCCCAACCCCCATCCACTCTCCCCCCACCCTGTTCCTCCCTCCCTCCCAACTTGTGATTGCTTTCTTCTCCCTCCCAAGTGGGACTGAGGTGCTCTCACTTGAGCTCTTCAGCTTATTGACCTATTTGAGTTCTGTGAACTATATCTTGGGTATGCTGTACTTTTTTATTGGCTAATACTCACTTATCAGTGAGTACATACCATGCATGTCCATTTGGGTCTGAGTTACCTCACTCAGGATGATATTTTCTAGTTCCATCCATTTGCCTGCAAAACTCAGGATGTTCTCATTCTTCATAGCTGAGTAGTATTCCATTGTGTAAATGAACCACATTTTCTGTATCTATTCTTCCGTTGTGAGACATCTTCTGGCTGTCACAAACAAGGCCACTGTGAACATAGTGGAAGACGTGCCCCTGTCAACACAGATTCTTAAGCAGGGTTTCTTGTAGAATGCAGGAACATTTCTAGGTCTTTCTTTGGTTCATAAATGAGATTTTTTTATTTTTTATTTTGGAAAATCATACAGGGTTCATGGTTATGTTTATTTTCTAGAGAAGAGTCTCAAATAAATGAATTTTAGACCATCTCACCTCAGGTTACATACAAGATTTACGTAATTCTCATCAGAGGTGGGGAACCACCAGTCAGAAAGAAGACAAGTGACATGTTTGAGGCACGCAGTTGTCACAGTTTTGTCATACATCACTCCTAGTAGCCTTCAGTAACTTTGTGTGCATTGTTAGATGTGATAGACTCAGTTTAGGAATGCAAGCTTAGTCAAGCAGTATCTATGCAAATTTGCAGTTAGACATACTTATTCATATTATAAAAGTGATTGTTCTGATAGTTCCTTTTTCTGTAATGTTAATGCCTTTGGGTTTATATAGTTTCGATTTTTCTATATATTTTAGAATTTTCTGAACACACTGTAGTACAGAAATGATGACTAGGTTCAAGTAGCTCATTAGCTCCCAGCATTAGTTAAACTCTCCAGACCCTGTTTAGGTGAAGCATAAAAAGTACGCCAGTGTGTCAGCCTGACACCCTGTCTTCGTGTCTGGCGTACAGGAAAGCTGAGTGATGGAAGTCAGTGGTCTGCTGAGTATTTTGACTTCATCCACAGTTTCTTTTCACGGCCTTAGGTCTCTTTAGAATGATGGTTTATATAGATTTCATAAATGTAGATAGTGTTTGAAGCTTTGTGTCAGGGATCAGGGTATAGCTCATCAGTGGGACACTTGATTATCATGTTCAAGGCTTTGTACTTGATTTCCAGTACTATCAAAAAGAAAACAAAAAAGAAAAAGAAAACTGAGGTAAAGAAAATGAAGTTTAGCCATAATCTCTTCTTAGAGACAATGAAGCATCCAGCCACAGTAAAGTTTAACCTAATGTTTCCTTTCTTTTTCACTTTTATTTGGTTTTGTTTTCTGTTTTCTTGATTTTTTTTACTGTCTTTATTTAGCAAGAAATGCAAGAAACCAAATTAGGAAACATTAAACCTATTCTTTCCTTTTCTTTTGTAGGTTGCTCTCAGATTCTCAACAGCTGGACATTTTAAGAAAAGCAAGATCTTACATAAAACAAGAAAAATTTGATGAAGTCGTAAGTACATTGGCACTTGGGGTCAGGGCCAGGGGAGCTCTGCCTGGGGCACACAGCAGGCGGGCTGTGGGTTCCTTGAGCCAGGGACATTAGCCTCAGACATACCCCTCCTTACTTCATGTGGGCACAGTTTTCTAGCTTGGCTTTAGAAAGGAAATGTGTTGCCTTCTTTTTTTTCTTTTTAATGAAAAACAAATTTTGAGTCCCCATCACCGTGTTTTGAGAGTGTAGAGTAGCACGGTTGCCACTCAGGTCACCGCATTCATACTAAAGTTTCATCTGTAAGCACCTCCACCCCACTGGCTTTCTACATTGCATTGCATTGCATAGTATTATGCTTATCTTATAGGGGATTGAACAGAGGGTCCTGTGTATGCTAATTAAACTCTCCATTTGTGACCTGCATCCCCAGCCCTATTTTATTTATTTAATTTATTAATTTGTTTACTGTTTTTTTTTTTTAGACAGAGAATTGTTGCCCAGGCTACTGTAAGATTTGCACAGCCTCTAAAACAGTTGGGATTACATACATGTTTTACCATGCCTCACTAAAACTTCTACACCTATTTTAAAAGATTACCTAAGTAATTACTAGTCTGTGCATTTATAATTTTTTAATTATGCTTTTAAATTTTAGACATTCTCCCTGGTAGTATTTGAACCCAGAGCATCTCCTATGCTAGGCTAGCACGGTACCACTAAATTGTATCCCCAGGTCACTAACCTATTCTTCTCTCTAACATTGTTATTTTGCTGACATTTTTTAGTAGATTTGCATAATCTTATATGAAAGTGAAACACAGTGCATATGCTCACATGCTTGCATATGTATATACATATGGCATTTCCATTATTTGGGATATATGCTGGAAAACCTTTAATTCCTGTGTGTGTCCTCTGAGGACCATTTTGACATAATGAGTTACTTTAAAATACTATATAGCATATAGATCATTTTCATTAAAATGCCCTATCTTCCCAAATTAAAAAGTTTTTTATTCTGAGACTTGTTCATGTTTTGCAAGAAGACCCTCACAGTCGCGGTCTGTTCTTAGGCCTCTCATGTACAGCTTCTCACTCCACTCTGCAGCCGTGGTCTGCTGTACCGAACACCAGGTCCTTGGTTGGAGAAACTTGGCTTTTGCTGTTTCACCATACATGTTCTGTATATGCTTTGTCCCCATAGGTGTCCCTCTGTGAGGAGCTGATTGACCTTGCCCTGAGAGGACTGTCCTATTATCACACGTATGACAGACTGTTTCTGGGCTTCAGTGTTGCAGTTGGTTTTGTGGGATGGATGTCTTATGCTTCTTTGTTAATCATCAAGTCTCACTCTAATATCCCAAGAAGCACTAGGAAGGAAGGGAAGGTAAGTTCAGATGTAACAAAGGGTCAGATGATACTGTTTGAGTTACCAGGGCTACAGTCTAAGAAACTGAACCAATCACTGTAGTGAGCTCATAGAGTATGTAAGTTGTAAGACTAAGTGAACTCATGTGTTTTGCCTTTTCTTGTATTTTCTGGTATGTCTGGTTTTTTTCGGTGCTATAAGGATACATTGATAACAGTGTCTCTGTAACTTAAAAGAAGCATAAAGAAATGCATATGAATAACTTAAGTTCTTCTGTAGTCTTAATTATACTGTTTCTGTTTTCTAGATAACTACTCAGTGTAAGCATTGCACATACTTCTAGAATAGGTTATTAGGGAGCTACTGCAGGCCTGGAGAGGCCACCCGGAGGCTGGGAGTGCTCGCAGCCCTTGCAGCTCTGAGCTGAGCTCCTAGAGCCTGTATCAGGCGGCTCACAGTTCCCTGTGACTCCAGGTCCAGCGGATCCGAGGTCCTCTGGCCTTCCCAGGCATTTCACTATACATAACACATAAATTTATACAGGCACATAACACATGTACACATGCACATTAATAAAAATAATAAATACACTTTTGTAAAAAGCCTCTTCAAACTGCTACGGTGGTGCACACTATTAATCACAGCAGTCAGGAGGCAGAGGCAGGTGGATTTCTAAGTTCAAGCCATCTTTGTCTACGGAACAAGTTCCAGGTCAACCAGGGCTACACAGAAAAACCCTGTCTCAAAAAAACAGAAAGCAAAACAAAACTACTTCAAAGCAGTGTATTTATTATTAAATACATAATAAGAACTGGACAATGTATTTATTGTTTTCTCTACCTTAAGAATGATTTAATTATTCTAATGTAGTTGAAGTTGGCTGTAATGGGAATTACTGTCTACATGTTAGGGAAATAGACAGAAATGACTGTGTTGGTAATGGAGAGATGAATCTAAAAATTCTACTGAGTCTTTAAAATGTACAGTTTCTTTACCTTCATTTTAAAATGGAGGCATACTGTGCTTTCAGTGAAAGGAAGAGGTCAAACTTCTAAACCAGTGGTTCCCAACTCTGTTACTGCTGTGACTCTTTAGTACAGTTCCTCATGTCATAGTGACCCCAACCACAAAATTATTCTTGTAGCCGCTTTATAACTAATTTTGCTACTGTTATGAATCATAATATAAATACATATATTTTATGATGCTCCTAGGTTGTTGCGGTAATAAAACAAAACAAAAATAAAAAGTGGCACCCAATCTTGCTTGTTCTTAATCAGCTGCCATCTTTCCAACTAGTCTAGGCCTGAGGCCATATGCTACCTCTGCTCAGCTCAGGCCTCGGACTCAGGCAGCCAGAGACACCAGCCCTGCCACCAGACGCCAGCGTGGGAGATGGCTCTGCCAGTCTTCCATGCTGTCTCCACGAGGCTGGGCTGAGCCCAGACCATCCTGCCATCCACGTGGTACCCGGTAGAAATGAGACTCTAATGCTTAAAGATTAACCAAAGGCTTTATATGTTTGATAATTCTCAAATAACAAGATGCCCACACAATTGGAAGTGTTAACCAATTAACTAACCTAGATATAAGTTGTTACCCAGAACTGCTCTCGATACATGTGTGCTTCTCCATCCTCCTACATCTCTCCACCCAAGTTCCTCCTCCTCCTTCCCCTCTTCCTCTCCTTACTCCTCCCACCTTAGTCCTTAGTTGGGACTTGTGGGAACAATATGACTCAACACTAGGTGACCTCTGTGAAAGGATCCTTTGACCCTTCAGAGGCATTGTGGCCCGAAGAGAGATCACTGCTCTACAGAGAGAATATCATAGTGCATACATGGTTTTATTGCATTAAGCCATTTTCTATCTTAAAGTATATTGCTGACTACCACTTACCAGGCAGAATATCCTACCTCCATTTCCTTTCTTCATTCTCTCTAGTGATTATCACTGTGCCCAAATCCTCATATAAGTAAATATTCTGCTAGTATATTTTGAGTAATAATAGTCTATAAACACTTCTAGTGGTAACTTTTATCATTTTCTATTTCATTTGTCTGTAATGTAGGGAAGAACATTATTGCTTAATTTCAGTTTTTACAGTTCTTCCTATGCATCTTAAATATTTTTTCCAAGTAATTATAATCATTTCAATGTATTTGAGGTTGGCTGTAATGGGAATTATTTCCTATGTGTTAGAGAAGTACACAGAAATGACTGTTTTGGTAATGAAGAGATATATCTAGGAATTGCACTGAGTTCTTGAAATGTATACTGTTCTCTTTGTGCATTTCAACTAATGTTTGTAAAAGATGAGACTGAGCTGAGGAAATTAACTAACTTGGTAACAGCCTCCCAGCCTAGGTGTGTGGGCAGGGAGGGCACTGAGATCTGAGCCATTGTGCCAAACATTGCTTTTTCCTTTTACTGTTCAGAATATTGGGAAAAAAAGGATATATTTTTGTTAAGGTGTCAAGACTTCATAGTTGATAGTTCTTTTGTTTATTGATTTGACAGTGCAAGTCAGTATTTAATTGAGTGTACAAGTACAATGCTAGGTGTTCTACAGAGAAATATAAGATTCAGATTTTACCATGAAACATCATGGTATTAAATAACGTAGGTAAGAAAAAAACACACATAGCCACCCTCCATGATTTGGGTTACTATATACCATACTATTAGTGTTTAAGATGCCAAGACTATCATGTTTTAAATAAAAGAGAATCCACCATATTGATAACAGTAAAAAGAAGGAAGTCCTGGTGTGAGTTTGGTTTGTTTTTAAGGACTTATTTTTAATTGTGTGTTTGTGTGTATCTAAGAGGGTCATGTGACTGCAGATGTCTATGGAAATTGGAGGAGTCAGATGGCCTAGAGCTAGAATTACAGGGTTTTATAGCCTGTCTAGAATGGGGGCTGGTATCTGAACTTGGGTCCTTTGCATGCACTGTATACACTGTTAACCCCTGAGTCATTTCTCCAGCATTTTGCTGGAAGTTGAGACTGTAGTGAGGGGGAAGATTCAAACGGATTGAAGGGACAAGCAAAGGCAGAGCTGGGAAGCTATCCTTTTGTGCTTGGTGGTAAGTTATCTTTACTGATCTCCATCATTTCCAAGTGTACCCTCCCCAGGATGCTTTGCAAATGTTGTCTCCGTTAGGTTTAACCTTACTGCAACTTTGTTAGTTATGACTCTCGTAATGTGGAACAAAGATTAAGACTTAGATAGTTCTACTGCGGGAGCCAGCCAGTCAGTCAACATAGGAACCGTGCCTGGGGGAGTGAGGATGATGGTAGGAAAGGCAGAAAGAGGATGCAAGAGGCAGGGATGGGAGGGTCACTGCTTAACACCATGCCAGCAAGCAACTGTACTTTCTCCATGTCCTTTAAAGGCAAGCAACACAAAGCATGACCAATTTTCAGAAGATAAACAATGACCACAAATCCTTACATGGCCAATTTATGGTACACAGTATCTATGTTTGGCTCAGGCTGTTTCCTTCAGGCTAGGGCAGTTTCTCAAGGATGTATATGTAAACAGAGGAAATTGTCAGGGTATAACATACGTCTTAATTAAAAACAAAGACAGGTGTCAGCAGACTCATTCATGATTAATCACAGGCAAGTAGTCTATCAAAGCCAGCTCCAGAAGTGCTCCCCACCTTCTACCATATTGTATCAACTCTAGAATGTAGAGCTGTTTTTTAGACACTTATATCTTTCATTTCTTACTATTTTGCTCTTTTCAAAATAGTCTAAATTCTCCTCTCTTACAATCAGTTGCAGACATAGCCCCATTTCAATTTTAGAGCTCTTATCTGTCCCCACTTATTTAAATTTGGCCTCCTATTCTCCATCATTTTTCTATGGGACCTCTATTATCTTTATTTCTTGTGCTGTTGACTGAGAGATTCTATAATTGCTGAGATTAATGCAATGAAGAATGAAAAATAAAAATAATAGCCATCATTTATTGAGCATCAATAACATTCTAGTTACTTTATTACGCCTTGTGTAATCTGATTTTTAGTATCAACACTGATAAATATATATAATTTCATTGTACCCATATTATGGATAGACAAAACTTTGTCTAAGGAAAGCTTTGTACTTTGGACTGCTCTCTCCCACATTATTTGTTAATCAAGAAAATGTTGCACAGACATGCTCAAAAGTCAGTCTGATGGAAGCAGTTCCTTAGTTAAAGTTTCCTCTTCCTGGGCGTGTAAAGTTGACAACTAAGATCACCCGTCACAATATCATAGCCAGTTTATGAACTTGACCTTCAGGCTCTTATTTACAGTGCTATGCTTCAGCCTCTTGTTACAGCCATGTCCTAACTTATGCTTGATTCTGACTTCATAATATTTTACACCAGTAGAGAAAAACATAAAAAAGGGATGGGAAATGTATATATTTCTTATTTTTGTGTATTTCCAGAAAGAGGTTCTTAGTTCCCACTGCATTTATCCTTGGCTAACAGGTTGAGGAAACAGAAAGCATGGAGTGGAGACAAAAGTGCATCCCCTGCCCCACTGTCTGGTTCCTTTCCTCTCTAACATCTTCTGAAGGGGCTTAATGAACTTTGTACCATTTTGTAACCTCTGCTTCAGAACACAGCACTCTATTTCTTAGCATTATAACATCCCCTAAAATGTCCCCTTTTCCCAGTTGTGGGACTGTATGTCCGTGACTTCCATCTGACCCAGAGCATCAAGAAGTGTTGGTAGTCTGTGAAGCTGGCACTGGTGACAGACATGTAGAGTTCCTTATTCAGCAGGTGGTTGAGAAGAGTAGATATGACTGAATGAACCAGCAGGCTTTAGGCAGTGGGAGAGGTGAGTGGGCAGCATGGCAGGTTGGAGCCTTGAACAGGCAGAAACTGTTCCAAATAAAGAATAGTGTATTGTATGGTAAATAGGCCCTTGTGAGCTAGACACAAAAGACAGTCAAGATTTATTTTAAAAATTGTTTCTAAGAAGAACTATGTTCAGAGTTCTGAATGAGTCATTTACAAACCAAGTTTAGGACTCTTGCCAGTCTTCAGCTGAGAAGTGCCTGGTGACAACTATTTTAGGATACCCAGTTTCTTTCCTGATATACTAGGACAATGACATTTTTTCATTTTGAAAGAAGTTTTGATTAATTATCTAGTTTCAGAAACAACAAAAGAGATATTTTTCTTAAAAACTGTCAATCCGAATGGGTTTGGGTGTATTTGAGTGTTCTGTTTCATTTCAGAAGCCTCATCATCTCCTGCCTTGGAGCTTCATAGCTGCTGGTGTCTTAGCAGCATGCTTCCTGGCGATGCAAGCCTGTCCCTGGACTTACTACGTGTATTGCTTGCTGCCAGTGCCCATATGGTATGCAGTGCTAAGAGAGTAAGTAGCTTGCCTCTCTGCCTTGTTTCTACTTCACCAGCAGTTAACCCTGTGTGTAAAATGCACTGGGTTTTATAGCATAAGTCCTAAAAGATGGCTGTAGTATTTGCAGATGTCTCAACATTCTCATTTGATTTACAACTGCACAATGCTGTGTATTAAACATCCCTTTTGTGTTATCTTTTTTACTTCACTTGTACTGCATTGAGGAAGCAGTGACCTGGTTTCTTTATTTGAATGTTTTTCAAACAAAAATATAGAATAAAATAACATAAAAAATATTACTGTACTATGTCATGAGTACCTTACACCTTGCGTTTTGTCATCTTGTATTTTAGTTTCTTCATGTTTTACAAGATTTATGTGGTTTTTCCCGTATGCTTTACTTCTCCTTCCTTAGCCATGAAATAAATGAAACTTTGTAATTATTTCGAATCTGTTAGTGTGTACTGACAGGGACTCTCTACTATTCCATGCGCTGTGTTTCTGTCTTTAAGCACTTTCTCAGCATAGTCTAAAAGTGGTTTCTTACTATTACAGTCAGCTGGAAAGGAAGACAGATTTCAAGCTGACTCGGGAGGCAGAGGCAGGAGGATCTACGTTTCTAGGTCTCAGCTCTATAAGGAAGGGCTGCCTAAAAAAACAAACCAAGACAGAACAAACAAGACATAGCAACTGGCTGGCATGTGTGTCCTGACGCTACATATTTTTCTAATATTTGTTGATTCTAGCTTTGACTACTTCTACCTTCTAAAAATATGGCTTAAAAATATCGAGATACTGAAACATAAGAAATAAAATATAGAAATGCTTCAAATACTTTAAATATGAAGAAAAAAGACACTAAGCTAAGAACATACAGTGATTTCATTTCACCATCTAAAAGGAGTAAGGTTGTTGGTTTGTTTAGTTAGCTCACGTGTTTTTCTGACATCATTTCTTTGGTTTCAGAATTCTCTAAGTTTCCTAGCCAGTCTGTTCTACTGTAGAACCCCTTCCAAAGATTAAATAGCCTAATCATTAAGATAGTATGTGTATTTTAAATTTAGGGAAGATGAGATTTTGCAAATATGTTTTATTGCACCCTTTTGATATATTGCATGGAAAATAAAACATTAAAAGTAAGTTTTTAAGCTGATTAGGTGGTAAGGGAAGGGCCTGTGCAAGGCGTTGGCCAGCAGTAATAGTAACCGGGCCTCGAGGGGCAGAGGCTAAAAGATTTATCTCACCCTCGTAATCACTATCCACGAGTCAAGGGCACTTGAGTCCCACATAGTAAAAGGAATGAACAGATTCCTGCAGATTGTTCTCTGACCTACACTGTGGCTACACATTGTGGAATGCACCCCCATACATATTTGCACAATAAATAAATATTAAATATTTTAACCCAGTTTTTCTAGAATAAAAATCCTCCAAAATGACTTCATTTAATCTTTCGTGCCTCTTTGCTTATTCACAGTTGAAAACAAAAGAAATGCTCTCCTTGTGGTAATAACTTTTCTTTCCTAGGTGGCTACTTAACAGTGTGATATAATTTTATTCTATAGCCATTGTTTTCAGTCAGAAAAAGGTCATAAACCAAATAACACTGACCTTTTACAATTACCTACTTAATGTTCTACAAATGCTAAAGATTTTTTTCTCTAGATGATGAAATGTAAAACGTACTCAAGTATGTAATACATTTTTGGTGGTTATAAATTCTCAATTACAATTAGTATACAATTAATGGCATCTTAAATTGGGTTTGAAAAAGGTTATTTGGCTCAGTTAAAAAGTGCAATTAAACTGGGAGTAGTGGTGCATGTCTATAATCCTATCTCCTCAGGAAGCTAAGGCACAAAAACTGGCATTTTGAGGCTGGCCTGAATGACTACATAAAGTTTAAATGAAAAGGCTGGGATTTTAGCTTAGTGTCAGACTGGATGTCTGGCATGTATAGAGCCTTAGCTTCAGTCCTCGGTACTGCAAATAAATAAAAGTCAGTAAGTTCAATTAAGATTTTCTTTACGAAGGCTTTGGATGTAGCTCAGAGGTAGGTATAAGGTTATTCCAATGAGTTTCAAAAATTTTTTTTTCAGTTTGCATACATTCGGGTTCATTTTATTTTATTTTTTATTTATCTGTAGTGTATGTACCTTTGTTTAAACTAAGGTCATACAAAAATAATTTATTGTTATTTATATTTAGCAAATGCTTATCATCATTTTTCCTAAAATACAGATTTCCACAAATAAAAGTAAGCAAATCCATTAAAAACAAATTGCTACCCTTTATCTTAAATTTTAAATAATTTATGAATGGAAACATCTGGGATTTTGGGCTTTGTGCAGTTTTAATTTGGCATTATATTGCTAATGTTAGTATGCTGTTGCAAATTATAAGTAATCATTTTGTAAATGATCTCCTTAAACAGGCATGAAGTTATTCAAGACCTGGTTGGATCACTATTGACTTTTCCTCTGAGCCATTTTGTTGCCTACTTGCTTGTCTTTACCTTGGGTATTGAAGTCCTGGTAAGTACCTGACCAGGCGTCTTGCATTTTTATGTTTCTGGCATTAAGTAACCTTACTCTTCATTTTCTTTGCAATCTGTTACCAGGTGCTCAGTTTCTTCTACCGCTACATGTTGACAGCTGGACTGATTGTGTTCGCAGGATGGCCGTTTCTCACTCAGCTGTGGACCCGAGCAAAGGTATAAGTACTCATGTTGGCAAAATAGAATAGTAATTACTTTGTTTTGATATGTGTTTGGCTCAAAGAAATGTTTATCTTTAAGCAAAGGAGTGGAATGCATACTCACATGAAGGGCCTGGTTCTTTGAAAGGAAGGGCTGCCATCAACTTTCCATCTCTGATTTATACACATATCCCTGTCGGAATGAGCCAGAGATATAGAAAGCCTATAAAGTCAGAGCTGGCTTGTTTGCAGTTCTTGTGGAGTTTCTAGTCCCTAGAGAGGGAGGAGTCTCAGAGCAGCAGAGTGGCCTAGGGGTCCACACTCCAAGCTCTAGTCTGAGGAGTAGCCTCCTCTTCTCTGTGCTCCATCCACACAGCTCTTTCCTGGGAAAGTAGCAGTATGTAGACCCAATAGTATTTTAAAAGCCACAAGAAGTTGGGAAGGAATTTAATGAAGCACATGTATACAGATTTCAAACAATAAAACAACCCAGAAAAGTGATTAAATATGGTTCAAGGTATCCATATTTATGATGGTTAATTTTAACTGTGAGCTTGAAGGGATTTAAGAATCATTGTAGAGACAAGCATCTGGGAAAATCTGTGAGGGATTTTCTAAATTAAGTTAATCAAGGTGAAAAGTCCCACCTAAACCACTGGGACTTTTTTTTTTTTTTTTTTTTTTTTTTTTTTTTTAAAGGAGAAAGCAAAGTTGAGCAGCACCATTCATTTTCTGCTTCCTGACTGATTGCAGTGTGGTGGTCAGCTGCCTCAAGCTCTTGCTGGCTGGCTCTTGCTGGCTGTCAGGACCTGCTCCACTGTTACCCCCACTCCCCACCCACTGCCATAATGGACAGAACCATCTGTGGAACTACAAGAAAAAACAAACCCTTTGTTTTTAAGTTGCTTCCTGTCATACATTTTGTCATTGCAAAAGTAACTAATACAATATTAGTGTCCAAGTAAATTCAACGCAGCTTTTCTTTCAGTTTCAGCCATGTAGTGTGTGAGATGCTAGAAACAGATTTCTATACCATATTTGTCTAAATATAATTTTTTTCTTGATTGTAGATCACTTGCCTGAGTTGGGCTTTCTTCTCTTTGCTTCTTGCAGTGTTCCCACTGATGCCTGTTGTGGGCAGAAAGCCAAACCTTTCTCTAGTGTACGTACAATATTATTTGCCATTTCAATAGAATTTATCCTCTGTTGACACTGTGACATTTAAAAACAATTCTCTGTTTATCTCTGTCTCTCTGTCTCTCTCTCTCTTTCCCTCTCTCTCTCTCTCTGCTGTGTGTGTGTGCGCGCACACGTGTGCCATATGCATGTGGATACCCTTACAGGCCATCAGAGGACGTGAGATCCCTTGCATCTGGGTTATGTATATATGAGAGTCACTTGACCATCTTCCTGACAGTATAGAAAATGAATTTAGCCACTTCACCATAGTATACAAAATGACTTATACAGTGATGTACTCCCCAACACTGTTGAGGCCACTGCCCCACTTTCCAGCCAGACCAGCTGAGGAGACACTGAAGTTTGTGATGGAAAGGAGCTGCTTGGCCTGAGGAGTGCTATGTCCTTTGTATGAATCTGTTCTCTCAGTGAGAATCTCGGTGGCAGATGCTTTGTTTAGCTACCTTTTATATTCTCTGTATTTACCCAGTTCAGTTTAAGAGCCATCCATGGCAGTTGATGAGTGAAAAAGAATGAATTAGACAAATAGATATTAAGGTAAATATACTGGAAGAAATTATGGAGTGTGGTTACAACTAGCCCTGCCATGTGCTTGCCCTGCGATTTCCTGTTGTTCTTCTGCCAGCTTTCCTACTTGATGGTGATTAAACAAAATGCATGAGAGGTCTACATTTAAGTGAACTGCCTCATGTTTTCGTAACTGTCTTTAGTATGCTTCTTGAGAAAAGTTTGATCGTGAATAATATTTTGAAACAGAATGGGTGCCGGATTGCTGGTTCTTCTGCTGTCCCTGGCTGTTCTAACAACTCTCGTAAAAAGAAAAACTAATTTGGTAAAGGAGGAACTGTTGGTACTCCTGTTACAGGTCAGTTAAAATTTTTCTATTGTATATCTTACTAGCTGTATAATACAATGTATCTTATTGTTATACTCTGTTACATTCCTGTATTCCTGTTGCTCAGCACTGTCACCAGAGAAGTAAGTTTCCTTTTTAAGATAGTACACAGAAGTATGTATAGAATAGCAAAGGGTCCGCAAGAGTAACAGTGATGTCAAGAAGTCAGCAGTTAAGGAGAGCGTGAGGGCAGCAAGTGATAGATGGCCTAGGAGAGAGGTTGCTGACTGTGGTGTTTTAAAGTTAGTTAGTGCCCAGCTAGTCTAATGACAGGATGTACAATTCCCAGTAATTTAACTCCAGCTTGTTTCTTAATGTTAGTGTAGCAAATATTTAACATGGTTGTGGAAGTTATAGATTAAATAGCAATCGTGTTTTACAAAATGATATCTTCTTATGTATTAGACTAGAAAGTACTCTTTCATTTTCTTTTTTTTTCCTTCTTTTCAGTTTTCAAGACAGGGTTTGTCTATGTAGCCCTGGCTGAGAACTCACTCTGTAGACCCAGCTAGTGTCAAACTCAAGAGATCTGCTTGCCTCTGCTTCCTGAGTTCTGGGATTAAAAACATTAAACCACCACCACACCGCTTAGAAAGCATTTTTTCAATAGGATAGTAGTCCTCTTTAATATTTATGTTTTCAACAATAGAATTTATCTTTTAAGATTTAAAATTTTTTTATTATAATTTTTCTTTATTCTTGAGAATTTTATACTTATAAACAATAAAATATATCCAATATATTTAGGGGTGATGCCTGGAGAGTCCCTCCCCATCTATGCCAGAATATTGTCTAGCTTGCTCATGTGCGTAGTAGTGTGGGTTCATCTGTGCAGTAGCCATGGCCAGTCAAGCTGAGTAGTACTTTGTTGTGTTACTTTCTTTGATCCATTCATCTGCTAATAGTCGCACAGGTTAATTCTGTTATGACAGACAGACAGTTAATCCTAGCCGTTGTGAGTAGAGTAGCAGTGAACATGGGTATACAAGTGTCTTGGTAGTAGAATGTGAGGTACTTAGGGTGTTTACCCAGGAGACACACAGCCAGGTCATATTATCAGTTCTGTTTCTAGTTTTTGAGAAACTTCCAAACTGATATCCAAAGTGTCTGTACTAGTTTACACTCCCACCAGCATGAGTTCCCTTTTTACAACTTCCACACCAGCTCCCCCGCCCCTTTTTTTATGGATAACTGTGTCTGGAGCTCTACCAAATCAAATGAGTTTTCTTAAAAAGTTCTCTCAGGACAAAACACTATAATTTATTTCCAAAGTAGTATGAAATCAAAATATAAACATGCTTAAAAGATACAGTAAGTTATGGTCATTCTTGGAGAGCAACAGTGAACTCCTAAGAAGAGATCTTTTGTAAACATCCTATCGAGTTTGGAACATATGCTTTATTGTAAATAGCACACTGCCTTTCCTCTAAACCGGGGATAGTTTTGACAGAATCCGCCCACAGTAAAGAGAGCTTTGACAGGAACATGTGTTTCTGATTCTCACTACAGAGAACTGAAGAATAGCATGCTTAAATTCTTATATACTTTGTTAGAAATACTCCCGAGGATTATGTAACTCCATTACAAAGTTCTTTCCTGCATTATCTTTAGTAATTTGCATTCGTTTCTCTGCTGCCTGACATATTTTATTGATCCCAAGGCATACATTTTCCTGTAATTTTTTCATATCTATATTGAGACTATGTCTTACAATAGAAAGGATCCTAGGAGTGTATCATAGCTCTATTCACAGAAAAATTTGTGTCTTAATCTGTTCATCAAAAAGACAAAATAAAGTCATCTTTAGGATTTGATAATGAGATCACTGATCTAAACTCTGAGAGCTTATTTTTTTGTAGTCAAATTTTAGCTCCCTTCTTAAAATGGTAATTAATCCACTATTGATCAAGGATCAAGGATCAATAGTCATTTTTCTATACAGCTGGATAATATTTTTGTTAGCACAAAAGGAGAAAACACATGAGTGAATGGAAGAGACTATATTGTTATAAAGTAGTTTCTTATGAAAACAGCCTTCAAGCTGACTCCTCTGATACAGACTACAGTGAACATTTATACGGCCTCAGTTCCAGGGCCTGGTAAATATACAGATAGTACTGTGCAGAGAGACAGGTGGGAAAGGCACTAGACTATACACTCCCTTCCTGATGCATAATTTAAGAAACCTTTAACATGTGTAACAGATACTTCTAAAGAAGCTCTGGTGAGGCATGCCTTAGCGCTCTTGATAGTGTGCACGCCTCATGTCACCCTTAGGCAAGGCTCTGGCTTAGCACGGCAGGACGAACATGTAGCTCTGGAGCACGAGAAGGCAGCCTGGTGCGATTCCAGTATTTCAGCTGGAATTCATTCTAGTTTTTCTCGGCGCTGTCCAAGCATCGTGGTAGTGTGTCACTCTCCCTGCCTTCCCTTGCTGAGCTGGTTTGTGTTTTCAGATGCTGAGTACAGTCCTCTCTGTGTATGTTGTGTACAGCACCCACCACAGTCTGTTAAAGAAGGAAGGCCTGCCTCTTATGAATCAGATGGTGAGCTGGGCAACATTAGGTAAGTGGTCACTCAAAACAAACTGGAAAACGACCTCCAGTCACTTTTCTTAAAAGTGAGACCTTTATGTCTGCCTCGTTGTGCAAGAAGAAATAGTTTTGATGAAGGAAAGCTATTATTTCTATTTCTTTCTGGAATTTGACAAAGAAGAAGAAGTCTTCTGAGCACACATAGATTAGTAAGAATTACTTGATTTGATATTGGACTGTGTACTAATGAACATCTAATAAAAATCTATTGAGTGATTCTAGAAGTGAAATTTTTATGAATATTCCATTCTGTGTATGCACCACATAGATTTAATTTTTCTGTCAGTCTTTACATTTTCAGGTCTTACACAGATTAGTAAATGATTAAATTTTATGTTTCCCTTTCCAAAACCAACATTAACTAGATATTTCTCAGCATGATGCATATTTTATAAAGCTACAAAGGTGTTTTCAATCATGTTCTCTGTATGGCATATTTATTTATTTATTTATTTATTTATTATTTATTTATTTTTAATTTGGTTTTTCGAGACAGGGTTTCTCTGTGCAGCCCTGGCTGTCCTGGAACTCACTCTGTAGACCAGGCTGGCCTCGAACTCAGAAATCCACCTGCCTCTGTCTCCCAAGTGCTGGGATTAAAGGTGTGAGCCACCACCACCCGGTGGCATCCTTATTTATGAGTATTAGATTTGGGGATAGTGAAACAGCTCCATGGGTAAGTGCTCACGACTTTTTAAAAGGACACTGTTTGATCTTCCAGCACTCACATGGTAGTTTATATCTGCCTCAGGAGTGAATACACAGGTAGGGAAGGAATAAAGTCTTAAGGATTTTATAGGAGTGGAGTTATTTGTACTTTTTGCTCACAGTATTTCAAGTTCCTTTGCAGAGGCAGGATGATCTCCCTGAGTTCCAGACCAGCTAGGTCTACATATTGTTTCAAACAAAGCAAAAGAGAACAAACAAAAACAAAAACAGTACCCTTGACCAGGAGTGGCTGTGCATGCCTTTGATACTGGTGAGGCAGAGACTGGTGTGCCTCTCAAGTTCAAGGTCAGCCTACTCTATATAGTTCTAGGAGTTACCAGGCTAGGCAGGGATGCATAGTGAGACCCTGTCTGAAAAGGGGAGGGGAAGGGAGGGGAGGGGAGGGGAGGGGAGGAGAGGGGAGGGGAGGAGAGGGGAGGGACCATTGTTTGTTAAGCTAGATTGTAGCCCTAGTCCTGTTATCATATGTTGTAGTAGAACACATATGCCTACTAGATAAGAATTCCTATCCTATCCCTGCCTGCAATTTGGATATTCTATATAGTTTATCCATGTCTGTATTGATCACATTTTCATTTTGGAATAGTAGAGAAGAAATTTATAGTTAGAATCAATCAATTTACATAAATATTTCCCTGGCAATACTTTAGATAAGAAATTACTTCCTTAGCATTGGTAGAGCTAGATATTAGCTTCAAGATTTCTATCAAGTGGTGTGAGGCATGTAGCAACAACTCAGAGAAAGTCTTCAGTGCTTCCAAAGATCTACCCTCAACACGGATGCACCATGGAGTGGCTACAAACAGGCATATTTTGCTTAAATTCATAAGTGTCCAATTAAATAATATATTAATATGTTTATGTCACTTAGAATGGAGGCCCTTAATCTCTCTTTAATAACTTATTATTACTTCAGACAAAAATAAACCAAGATGAAATATTCAATATTGAAAAATTGGTTTCATTTTATCTGGCTTTTGTTGGGGCTGTTGCTCAGTGATCCAACACTTGCCCAGTGTGCCTGAGGCCTTGAGTTTTGGAGAAAATAAAAAGAATCCACAAACAACAACCAAGAAACACATCTGACCTAACTTAAAATAAGAAACATTGTAAGTTATTTCTTGCCGTTAGAATATGTATCAGATAATGACATTATTAACCTACCTATACCTCAGCTAAGGCTTTACAAGTAAGACTTGCAGAGCTTTGAATCTTGAAGGAATTTATAGCTTTAATTAAAATCATCTGTATATTTAGCTTACTTTACAAGATACTGGTTACTTATAGCTAATACTATAGATGAGATCGCACTTAAAACTAAAGGCAAGTTTTCTTGAATGTCATCCTATTTAACATATGTATAAACTTCTTAGATGGATTATTAAGCCCGACCCTCCCCACAAAACAAAGTGAGTGAGTGACTCAGCAGAGCTTCTCCCAAGTTTCCTGCTCTGGAGCACCCGGGATACTAGGCAGTTGTGTACAGTTGCCCCCTGAAGTAGACAACAAGAGTTTGTGTCTGCTGTTGCTGCCCCTTTTCATCACCTTGTCTAGCTTGAGGGAGCTGGTTCTCTAGGGTAATGTCTACACTCTGACCTATGTGAAGTCATCCTCTCCTGCCTCGGATATATCAGGTCGCACAGGCTCTAGCTGTCAACGTCTCTGATAACAGGCATAATCTGTTACCAGGGACTATGCTGTCTCTAAACTAGGTCATAAATGTCTGAGAAACAAGTTGCTGAATGTAAAGTAATACATTTTATTTCATTAGAAAATGATACATTATTCATTTAGGAGTTAATACTAGTATAGTGATTTAGTTTGAATAAAATTGAGAAAACTTGAGTTATTTAACCCACAATATAATTAAAATAAAGTGTAGTTTTAGTTAAGAATGTCGTGTTTTGGTTTTCTTACAGAAATCTCTGGCTTTCATTACAGATCACACAAAGGCTGAGCTGCATACGTGGTGGTGGGTTGCTTGGGTCTGCAGAACTGACTGAGCACTGGCTCTGTTTTCTTCCAGCTTCTTCCCTGGTGGCGCCGCTTCTGAGTTCCACAGCTGTCTCTCAGCGACTGGCCAGCATACTTCTTTCCCTGATGTCGACCTACTTGCTCCTAAGCACGGGGTATAAGCCTTTTTCTAGTTAATTTTTTTTTTTGAGAATGTTATGAGTAGTGTATTTCCATTATCTCCATGCCTTCCTTCCCCACCCCAGCTTCTCCTGTGTCCCTGCTCACTCTCAAGCTCATGACTTCTGTAAGTATTCTTGTTTCAAACATGTATGTATAAACTTTTCTTAAAATATAACTTCACAGTTGAAAATTTTAAATGCTAAATTGACTTTTCTTTAGTAGCTAAGCTTGGAAATGAAAATGTCCTCTAAATCTTGAAGGATAAATTATAAATATTTTCTATTCTCTATGTGAATAGGTAACTTGGTCTGTGAGTTGCTTTATTTCTCTTATCATTTTTGTATTATTATCTATCATCTACTTTTACTTGGAGTTGCTAAAATGTTATTTAACTATAGTGTTGGGAAATCCTGATGTATTGTGGCAGAATTTTATGTCTTAAAGACTTTTTAAGAAGGATTTTTGTTGTGGTTGCATTTTTAAATGCATGTTTCCGTAGTGCTGTGATCTCTGTCCCATTAAATAGCTGAACAGCTAGAAAGAAAATAAACTTATCTTCAACACAGAGCAGCAGCATCACTTCCAATTGCACTTCAAAAATCAGTGACATGTTTATCCCAAAGCAAGACTCTAACAGACAATTAAACAAGTAATTTTTAAAATAAATTGTATGTTCACAGTTTAACTCTTAGTTTAAAGCTTATATCAATAACAGCTTTTATCATCTGAACTTAAAGGGTTTGGACAGTCAGCCTGACCTTCCCTTTGTCATAACAGCAGACGTCAGCTCTGGCACATGAAATTCTTTTTCTTTCTTGGGACAGAGCTGGTGATGCTGTTGGAGTGTAGATCACTGCCTTTCCAGTTATGCTCTCTTCTTTCTTGTTCATTGTTGGTATTCGTGGTGTTGGGTTTTCTGTGTGTAAGAGATCGCAGTGCCCAGTGTGGGTTTTTTTTTAGAGTGTGTGACTAGGGATACTGTTAAAACTTCTTTACAGTCTTAAAGATCTGTTAGTGCATGCAGGTGGATACATAAAGGAAGGCAGGAGGACAGCGTAGAAAGCGTGGGCAGTCCTTGATGGTTCCGAGCATAGTAAACTGCTGGGTGAGCAGCGCTGGCAGCAGACCTCAGGTAACGCTGCTCCAGGTCCTCACGTGCGCTTCTTGTCTGGGTGCTTCCCATTCCACAGAGCAAGCAGTTGAGGCTCGCTCAGTCGTCTGCTCACCTCCCAGCCCCTAACCGTGGACTCCATGTTTCCAAGTGATCATTCCAGGGCTACAGTGCGAAATAACACCACTGAAGTCCCTAGATACAAAGCAAGCAGAGTTTGACCTTTTTTTAAAAATACACCCATAGGTTAGTTTAAAGCAGTGGTTCTCAACCTGTGGATCGAGATACCTTTGGCCGGAGGGAGGGGTTTGACTGACTGTTTTGTAGGGGTTGCATATCAGATATCCTGTATATCAGATACTTACATTATTATTTATGACATGAGCAAAGTTACAGTTATGAAGTAGCAACAAAATAATTGTATGGTTGGGGCTCACCACAGCATGAGGAAGTGTATTAAAGGGTGGCAGCGTTCGGAAGGTTGAGAGCACCTGCTGTCAAGCATGAGAAGGTAGACAAGAGTCAGTGTCCAGCACAGAGCTCCAGCACGGCTTCTGAAGGTAACACTATAGCCAACTACACTAGACAGGAGCCAGTGTCCAGCACAGAGCTCCAGCACAGCTTCTGAAGATAACACTACAGCAACTACACTAGACAGGAGCCAGTGTCCAGCACAGAGCTCCAGCACAGCTTCTGAAGATAACACTACAGCAACTACACTAGACAAGTCAGTGTCCAGCACAGAGCTCCAGCACGGCTTCTGAAGATAACACTATAGCCAGCTACACTAGACAAGTCAGTGTCCAGCACAGAGCTCCAGCACGGCTTCTGAAGATAACACTATAGCCAGCTACACTAGACAAGTCAGTGTCCAGCACAGAGCTCCAGCATGGCTTCTGAAGATAACACTATAGCCAGCTACACTAGGCCATTCAAAACAAGGACTTTGCACTTTGCTAAAATGTAGCTTGTTTGTGGCTTTGTTCCTTAAAAAAAATATTTCTTTAATATATTTTAAAATGTGCTTTAACTTGAGCTGTAACTTGGGTTGAAAGCTTGTCCAACATGTGCTAGGCCTCAACACTACCAAAGAAAAAGACAAAAGTCTTCAAATACTTCAACTTGCTTATTATTATATTAATATAAAATCTTGTTTTTATTTTTGTTCTTAAGTGCATTGCAATTAAGATAATTCTTTTAATAAAAGAAACTTGAGAGTATTTCCAAAACAGTTCACTTGTTTAAAATTGAAATTCTCTGGGCTAGATTGATGGCTCAGCAGTTAAGATTGCATCATACTGTGGCTGAAAACAAGACTTTGGTTCCCAGAAAGAACACGGGCGGGGGGGGGTGGGGGGTGGGGGGAGGGGGAGGCTCACAGCTGTTCTTTTTTTTTTTTTTATTGGATGATTTATTTACATTTCCTATGTTGTCCCCTTACCTCATCCCCCACCACCCCCTCGGAACCCCCAATCCCCTCGCCCCTCCTCCTTCTTCTCTGTGGATGTAACCTCTATCTACCCCCCCCACTCCCACCTCCCCACCCTCAAAATTCCCACCCCCTGGGGCATCCAGCCTTCATGAGGTCAAGGTTCTCTTCTTCACAGCTGTTCTTATCTCTGGAGGTTCTTCTCTTTTTGTTTTAGAGTAGGATCTCACTGTGTAGACCAGTAAACTCAGAGAGATCTGCCTAGCTCTGCATTAAGTGCTTGGATTAAAGGCATGTGCAATTAAAATAGAATTGAGATTTTCATACCAAGTAGATTTAAAACAGAATCAGACATTGATTTGACATGAACTCTGAAACATTACTTTGAAATTCAGTGAAGGCAATATTATAGTTTCCAGGTTGACTTTGAAGGGAAGAGTTCATACTGTCCTCCCCGCCCGACCTCCCAGCCCCCAGACAAACACACACTAAACTCACTGTGTAGTTCTTCTAGTTGGCTTCAAACTCTTAGTTCCTCTTGCTTTGGGTATGGAGTTGTCACCAAGCCCAGGTTGTCATTTGAATTTGAATCTTATTTAATTTTTTTCTTTAGAGTAAATGATAAACAGAACAGACAAATTAAGTAAACACCAGTTCAACTTTTAGGTAAAACATGGGATCTTGATCCAAATTAGACTCAGCCCAGAATTCACCATGGTGCTACCACAGGTGATTTTCCGTTTAAATGATCTTATAAAGCTATTTAGGGTCCAAGGCCTGAATCACTCGTTAGGAATCTTAGCTGTTTTCACTAAGTAATAGAGAGACATTCTGTAAAGCTTTTTCCAGTGGACCTTAACATCCTCAGGGACGTAGACTAAAGCCCTTGTAGACTCCAGATCCAAATTGGAGTAGACACTAGAGCCCCTCTCACTAAAGGTCCCCACACATCCTGGTTTCGTTTTTTATTTTTGTTTTCATTCTCCATGACTGACATATTTGGGGGACACAGCTATGAGCATATGACAAGAACATTATGAAAACTTTGCTCAGTTTCTTTAATAAAGAAATCTTGTGCGTTGCTTATTTGCTTTAAATCTTGAAGTATATGAGAACCTAGGTGTTCTTATTCAAGAGTGATAAATATAATTTGAAACTCATTACATTTTCCACATTATTGATAAAATTTTAGAATAAATGATTGTTATATTAGCTCCCCTCAAAATAAAATAGTCTATGAAAGAAATTAGAAGCTAAAATCCTGTCATTTCATACTTAGAGATTTGCTTGAGAAAATAAATTTTTTAGAGTAAGTGTGATAATTTTCTAACAATCACATAATAGTGTTCTGACCCTTTTCAGTTTTAAAGGAATGCATACTAGATTTTTAAGATGTCGCTGTAAGCACTAAGGAGGCTGAGGCGGGAATTGTGAATTTGAGACTGGCCAGCACTACACAGTAGGAACCTGTCTTTAAAAACCAAAGGCTTCTTATCTTAGATTCTCTTTTTGTTGTTGTGATAAATTACTCTGACCAAAGCAATTGAAAGAAAGAGGTTTATTCTGGAATACAGTTCCAGGGTATGGTCCATCACAGTAGGGAAGTCAAGGTGTCAGGAGCTTGAAGCTGCTGGTCACGTGCATCCATGATCACCAATAGATAGTCATGACTACATGCCGGTGCTCATTTGCTTCTGTGCTTTGTGCAGTACAGGGTCTGCTACAGAGAGTGGGACTGCCGACAGTGCCGTGTGATCAGGATAATCCCTCATAGGCATGCTCACAGGCCCATCTCCCAGCCGATTCTAGATTTCATCAACTTGACAATGAAGACAAAGGATTGCACAGGGAACGTAGAGTCTTCTCTATAATGCACAGGGGCCTGACTTCAATTCTTAGCACTGCAAACATTCAGTTAATAATAAACAAGAATAAAATATAAATCTTAGATCTGGGTTGGAAATAAGAGCATAAGAAGAAAAGAAAGGAGAGTTTAAATTTGATTATAGGTTAAAAAAAAGTACTTCTTAATATGCAGGAATTTATCCTATAACTTACCTTGGAGACAAGTATTAAAATCGTCTTTCCAATTGTCAATTTAATGGCCTTCAGAGACTCTCAAACAGATTATCATAATGACATCAAATCAAAACCAGGAAAGTTCATGACTAAAATCAGAATGTTACTGCTGAGTATGACCTTACTAATGAGGGCATTAAGATACAGCATTCAATATCAGAATTTGTATTTAGCTTTGAAAACGAGTCTTGGAACAGTGTGGTATATTCAGTTAGGTTAGTAATTTCCTTGGTTTCTTACCTTTATTCCTTATAAAACTTAACAAACTATGTAGTTCATCGCTGTTTTGAACAAAATAGCGGTTTTTCTGCATAATTTGGTGAATATTCAGACGTAAGAGATTCTTAAATACAGCTTTATTATATTACAGAAACAGAGTAATAGTAATCTTAAATTCTAACAATGCATCCTTGATTTAATGAAAGATTCATTAGTAATCAGCCCTGAATTAATGTTATACTAATGAAAGCTATTATAATTCTTGAAAATAGGTTGTCGGCTAAGTTATTAAATATTTCCCTTGGAAATTTTGTTTACATTATCCCTTTGCTTAACAAAATATCATACAGATCTAAATGCCTTTTCAGCACATTTCAGTGTGTCCAAGACCAAACCAGCTGATTGCAACTCAAAGTGCAGTGTTTCATTCCACTCTCTTCAAGTCCACAATGACAGTTTATTGATCTTTCCTTATTAGTTTAGATTTGCAGACTATGTGTGAAATTCTGTCTTAAGAGATAAAGTCTCTTAGAAGGACTGTTTCTACCTGATCTTGTCTCATTTTAGAAAAAGTCCATATATCTGTTTGAAGTACTGAGAGGTGTTTTATGGTTGTGTGTTATTAGAAAGTACGACTTTCACATACAACTGAAAGTGTTTGTAAAAGCCGTGGTGCCGTGAGGCTGTATCCATAGCTAGGCAGGTAAGAGCACTGGTTGCTTTTTTCAGAGGACCCAGGTTCAGCCCCCACAACCCATGTGGTATTAACACCCTTCTATAACTCCCCTTCCATGGGACTCAGGGCCCTCTGGCCTATTTGCATACCAAACATCCACACATGTTCATGCAGGCAAAGTACTCGTTCACAGAAAACAAAAATAAGCAAATATTTTAAAAGTCATCATCTGCCTTTTCCTAGAGTATGCATCTTCTTTCTCTGATTAATCAAGTCTTTCACATTTTCAGCATCTTGAGCACTAAGCAGTCAAACCAAGAGAACTGTTACTGGAACGCAGGGCTGAAGTGGAGCGGTTCATGGCTATAAAACAGAATCAGGTTTTGCCATGTTACAGTAAAAACTGGAAAGTTGATTTTATGGGTTAGGAACTGAATAGACTTTGAGCAGTAGAACTGGGTTGGTGGCATGAACCAAATGTAGAACAGTGGCTGAACTAAACTTTAAATAATGGCCAGGGTGCAGGTATTACAATTTTGCCCCCAGTGTTTTAAGTCATTGTAACAAAAAAAAAAAAAGTTAAATTACTGTTACATCAGTTCTGATAAGGTGGAGTAAAGGAAGACGTGATTGACTTTATTGTTGAGGCTCTGGTGTATTTCTTTCTAACTCCAATTTTGTTTTTTAACATGTAATTAATCATAGTACATGTAGGTTTTTCTATTTTTTTCTACTTATATTAGAAGTATTTTCTTATGTGGATCATATCTTCCTCTACCATTTTAGTAGATGTATAGAATTTTGTGATATGGATATACTTTAATTTATTTAGCTGTTCCTCCATTTTTTAAAAATATACTATTATTTGTTTGTTTTTGAGACAAAGTCTCAAGAAGCTCGGGCTGGCCTCAGACTCACTATGTAGCCAAGGACAGCTTTGAACTTTTTTGATCCTTCAGCCTCTACCTCCTGATTGCTGAGATTATAAGCATGTGCTGCTAACGTTTCCAGTTTGTACCATGGTGGTGATGATGCCTAGGGCTTCATTCATGCTAGGAAAGCGCTCTAGCAACTGGGCTGCAACAAAGTGTGATGTGATTTTATCCTATCATACTTAATAATGCCAAGTCATCTTCTTTGCAAACAAGAATACCATGTACAATCTTAATGGGTGTAAGTGACTCTGCTTTGTGTACAGTCTTCTAGACCTTTTGCTAATGGCGTTTTCTCATGTGTATAATCTATGCTCATATCCTAAGACACCCTACATCCTACACACTGAGTGAGTGTATATGTTTTCTCAAATCCAGATGTCTCTGCCCAGCCTTCAGTACTTTTGTTCTATTGTTGTGGTAGAATTGAAAGCATTTCGTGCCCTTTGCATTTTCATATCATCGAAATGGTGTCGTATGGCCTAGAGTTCAATAGTAATAAGTGAAGCAAGGTTGCAATGTGTTTTTTTGTCTTGTAGCTTCCAGTCAAGTTAGTTATTCTTTCAGTTCCTGTGAGCTAGACCTTTATAGTAGCCAGATTCTATTCATAAACTAGGAGGTGTGTTAACGTGTATGTGCAATCAAAGCAGTATGGTAAGTGCTGGAGTAGAGCGTCTGGGGACCAAGGAGGCTTACCTCAAACTAGAGCAGAAGTATTTTGGAAAGGGCCTGTTACCTTGAGTAGTTCTTTTTTGTTTTGTGTTGAGTGGACTGTCCTCCAGCTTACAGAAGTACATGGGCACTGATGATCACTGTCCTGTGAAAATCAAAGGCCTTCACTCCTTTATTGCCCCTTTGTACACCTCTTTACGATGGAACTCGTGGTGGATGTGTCTTGTTTCCTTAGAAGTGGTGTTCTTAGATTGGGGCTCATGAGTATTTTTTATGTCCTTGATGCACAGCATTAGATGGCCGTCTGCAGTGGTGTTTCTGTGTACAGAGCATGAGAGTCTCTATTCGAGTGTACTTTTGTCAACACTGATTTTATGTGGACAAATGTGGTAATATGGCATCTTGTTTTTGCTTTCATTTTCATCTCAGTTATTGATATAGCCAGAGAGATTTTCATGCATTTCTTAGCCCTTTTATTTTATACTCAGGGTATATCAAACCTGCCTTTTAAGAAGGTTGGGATATCTGTCTTACTCTTACAGATATATTACAGGTTGTACTTCCAAAGTTATCTTTTTACATTTGTCTTTGCATTTTCTTTTTTATCTATTAATGAATAGTTGTTACCTACTTTAGGAATTATTTTTTAAAAATATTTCTACTATTTAAACATGTAATTATCTCAGTATCTAATGAAGTTCTAAAAAAGATGCTATGAAAGTTGAAATTTAATTATATTTTTCCTTTCCTATCCTTGTCTAAAAAACTGACAGATTTTGAAATGTTACAATTATTTTTTAAGGTTTATTTCATTTTTATTTTATGAGTATGGCTGTTTTGCCTTCACATATATGCACTGTGTGTGTGTGTGCCTGGTGCCTACATAAGCCAGAAGAGGGCAACAGATCTTTGGAACTGGCATGATAGACTATTTTAAGCCACCAGTGGGTTCTGAGCACCAAACCTGGGTCCTGTATAAGAGCAGCAGCTGCTTTTAACTGCTAAGCTGTCTTCCTGGCCTCCCATCCAAATGATTTGACTAACGATTTCTAGTTTTAACTTTCAACTTTCTTTGTTAGTGGTTTCAGCTCTGTGTTCTCACTCCGTGTCTTAGGTATGAAGCTCTCTTTCCATTAGTGTTGTCCTGTTTGATGTTTGTCTGGATACACGTGGAACAAGAGACCCTTCAACAGCCTGGCGTTTCTTGTAAACAGAAGGTAGGTCTACAAACCTGCTGCTTTGATTTGGGTATAATAAAATATTCTCTAAGCTTCAAGGACATTATAGTGTAATTCCATCAAAAATATTTCTGCTTAAAATTTTAGCATTTAAAATCTTAGCAAATTTTACTTGGTGTTAATAATTAAAGTAAGTAATTAACACATGAGGGAAACTTTCACTTATAACAAAACACAGTTTACAGTTTTGCAAGACATGTATGTGTTCAGCTTTTCCTAGAAAGTTATTGAGAATCAGATCAAAAATATCAATATAGGATGAGCAACACATGTCAGGGATGAAAGTGCTTGGCACTTGATAACACACCTGATGATCTGTGGTCCAGTGGTAGGACGAGAGACACGAGCTCCACTCTCAAGCTCTGGTCTGATGATGCACTCCATGCTTGTCCCCGCTCCTGTGTTCACCTCCGGTCTAACCTTGAGACAGTTGATTGGGTATAGGTGACATTTAAGTACCCATTGTTTCTCTAGCCATCCTAATCCAAGATGCATATTCTGTCATCTTAGTGATTGTGGCCTCTGACCATGTCTTCCACAGTTTACACACTATGCTGTGCTTAGAGCTGGATAAAGCCAACCACTTGATAAAGATGTTACCTCCACGATGAGTTAGAAAGTAATGTCTGTCATCTGTTTTGGAATTAAGGTAATTCTGAGAAATTGGTGACAGACTATTTCATTTTACTGAGGTCAGTTGGAGGAACAGTGCTTTTGTGCACAACCACCCTTAGCTGGCTCCAGCTGCCTTCCAAGAGGCACTGCTCATTCCGAATAACTTCTTAATGCAGAAGCAGCTATGCTGATGTGTGGATGTGAAAACCAGTGTTGATCAGATCAGGGGAAAGAGTCAGTAGTTATTTTAGATACTATTTCAGGAAAAGAAAGATCATTGCGTCACTTTTAAAATTTTACTTTTAACTGAAAGCACGGCTTTTTGTTTTTGTTTTGTTTTTTGTTTTTTTGTTTTTTGTTTGTTGGTTGGTTTGTTTTTTCAGAAAAATGTCAAAGCATGCCAGTGCTTGCTGGTATTTATGGCAGCAGGGGGAGTTCTGCTTTTGATCCTCTTTTATCTTCTTTCTGGGCTTGGGGACCTAAGCAAGAATGTCTTAATGGCATTACTTAATGGCATGACTTCTCCTTTTAATCAAAGGTGGAAGTATTTTGCATTCATAAGGAAAACTGATAATTTATCTGCAAATAGAATTAACAGGACTAAGAAGGGATAAATGCTTATTTTGTGTCATCTTTTTAAGATTATATTACTGATTTAAGAAGACCAGAACACTGATAAATGAAGTCTCTGAACAATGATTTGAAAGTGGAATATTTATATATTTAGGAAAATGACCAACTGTCACTTTAATGACACAATAGCACCGTAACTCCATTTAGCATGCTACTAACATATTTTACTTTTCAGTGGGTTGTAGTAAGATGTGTTTAAGCTATTTCACTGTTGTGAGTTTTTTTGTTTTGTTTTTCTATTTGTTTTATTGTAGGCACAATATAAATTCTTAGCTATGCTGACTTATCTTATTGTGTCTGTTAAGTCTGTATGTAACCCAGTTGCCATTGTCTTTAATGCTTTCTTGTTACCTCCAGCTTACCAGCATCCAGTTCACCTGCAATACTGACATAGCTCAGTTCCGACAGCTCTGTTTGGATGACATCCGTAGGGCCTTTTTCCTTGTATCCTTTGCTCTGGGACTTTTAAGATCTTCCAGCTTCATTTTAATGGAGTAAGATGATATGGAAGGTGTTTCTGCTTGGTACCTCATAGTGGTGATTGAGGTTGTTAACTTTCTTCTCGACTTGAGTTTTCCACGTGCATAGTTCTCATCAAAATTTGGAGATGGCAGGTGCTAGCATTCATCTCTAGGATAGAGTGCTTGCTAACACGTACCAAGCCCTGGGATTAACCCCTGCTAGTGCAAACAAAGACATTTTTAACTATAGGAAAGTGACAGTGCAAACATGGATATGTTCCACCAGCCAGTGTCTCAGCAGTTAGGAGTTTTTTCACATGTGCACACACTCCTTAAACAATAAAATTAAATCTAAACTCGCATTCTCCTTTCAACTCTTGACTCCTATTTAATTTCTCCTGCCCTAGAAGAACCCGTAGGAGTCTGCATTTGTGTGCTTTCCTGAGGCTTGTCAGGTCATTCATAGCTGTCCCGTGAGTGTGGATCCATCAGATGGAGAACCCGTAGGAGTCTGCATGTGTGCTTTCCTGAGGCTTGTCAGGCCATAGCTGTCCCGTGAGTGTGGATCCATCAGATGGAGAACCCGTAGGAGTCTGCATGTGTGCTTTCCTGAGACTTGTCAGGCCATAGCTGTCCCTTGAGTTTGGATCCATCTGATGGATTACTGAGCATTACAAGTTTGCAGGACACATGAAGAAACGTCAGCTCAGGGCGACCTCCTGCCCAGCTGCAAGAAATGCATAGGGGATTATTTCTTTTTAAAAAATTTATACTTAAATTTTCAGCTCTACTGAGGTACAATTAATAAAAATTATAAACATTGGAGGTGTATAACTTGATGCTTTGACATACACTACAAAATGATCACGCAAAGTAATTGACACATCCTCACTTGTTCAGCTGCCATTTGCATTTCCTCCCTCTTTCCTTCCTCCTTCACAATTCTCTTCCCTTCTGCCCTCCCTCCCTTATGAGAATAATTAAGATCTCCTGTCTTAGCAGCCTTCAAGACAAAACAATTTATTAACTGTACTGTTCCTTAGCTGTCCAGACCTTACTTATCATAGGTAATTGAAACTTCTGTCCTTTGACCAAATCTCCTTCTTTGCCCCTCTTGCTAGGCCTTCTAGGAAGTCTACTGTCTTCTCCAACTCTTTGTTTTCCTTTTCTTCCATTGCCTGTTGTTCTTGAACCGAAGGACAGCTGCTCCTACCCTGTGGGGAAAATTTAAGAAGGCCACCACAGTGGCGGGGCCCCAGAGGGGCTTACACTGCAGTGGCGGGTCCCACATTGGGGGGGGGGGAATCCTATGGTTCCAGAGGCCTGAGGGCCTTGGCAGCGGCAGACCCCAGTAACACGAGGAAGTCCTTGGTTCCAAAAAGGTTTATTGTCGTGGAGGATAATAGATGGATCTAGGCGTATCCCCCAAAACTCAGGGCAGTCCCGAGTTATATAGGGAGGGAGAAAGGGGGAGGACCTGGGGGAGGCATGTTTAATTTGCTCTGCCCTCTGGCCTTCATTCGTATGTAAATCCCTAGGGCCTGAGGCCTATAGCCTGGCCTATGTAGTAATTCTATGGAGACCGTGACCGCTTTTTCAGGATCCTGGGTTCTGGGGGGGGGCGTCGAACTCCTGCCAGTTCTCATGTAGAATCTCGCCCAGAATCTACAGAGTCTCGGGGTTCTAGACACCTGATCCACCATGATCCAAGATACCCTTATGCAGTCCCACACTACCCAAAGCAGCTCCTCAGCCAGCCTCCCGCCTCTGACCTAGACCACTGAGCCGGCTCTGTAGACAGTCTCCTGCCTCTGACCTAGACCACTGAACTGGCTTTGTAGACAGCCTCCTGCCTCTGTCTTCCTATGCTTACCTATGCTTATATACCACAAATCACATGTCACGTACCTGAACTGTTTGCTCCCAATATTATTATTTTCTCAAAAAGGTTAAAATTTCAAAGTTTTTATTAACATGTTAGTAAAGTCTTTATTACTTCATTTTTTTACTATGTCTTTCAATAAGCCATTAGATCTTACCACACCTATCTACTGTTTGATAATGATGTAATCTAATTTTCCTCTATGTTTACCAATTTTTCCAGCATATCTAAGACACTTTAAGACAGTTTCATTCACACTTATGTTCTTAATACCTACGTCTGTTTCAGACAGGTAGTAGACAACAAGTGTCGGTTGTTTAGGTGCGAGCTCAGCAAATGGCTGCATGGATACCTTCATGGCTCAGCTCCCTGGCTCAGACGCTGCCTTTTCACTAGTTGTCATGATTTCCCTGCAGAGTCTCACATCACATCTCTGTGCCATGTGTGCTGCTTAAAGATCTTACTTTAACAAGAGCTTTCATTGAGTCAGGCAGCACCTTGAGTACTTCGCTGTAAGTCCTGGACACTAATGAGACTGATGCTTAATACAAATCAAAGTTCAAGAAATGTAGCCAGCAAGACGGTACAGCAGGTAAAAGCCCTCTTTGTGTGTATGGTGGTTAGTTTTTGTCAACTTGGCACAAACCAGAGTCACTGGGAAGAGGGAACCTCAGTTCAGAAATTGCCTCCATCAGACTGCCTGTGGGCAAGCCTGTTGGACATTTTCTTGATTAATGACCCAGTCTGTTGTGGGTGGTGCTACCCTGAGCTGGTGGTCCTGTTTGTATAAGGAAAGCAGGCTGAGCACGTCATGATTAGCTGGTCAGTAAGCAGCATTTCTCCATGGTGTCTGCTCCAGTTCCTGCCTCCAGGTTCCTGTCTCATCTTCCCACAGTGAAGTCGTCTGATACCAGTGTGTAAAGCAATAACGCCTTTCCTCCCCAGGTTGCTGGTCGTCATTGCTTTATCACAGCAATAGTAAGTAACTAATACACTGTGTAGGCCCAATGAGCTGAGGTTGGTTCTCAGAACCCACTGTAGAAGGAGAGAATGAACTCTCCAAACTTGTCCTTTAACTTCCACACACTCACTGTGAGTATTCCTGTGCCCATGCTCATGTACAGATATCATACATACACATAATAATAAAAATGATAATAATAGTAAATAGTTCAATAAATGTTTAAAATGTTTGGCATTCTCTATGGAGTTATTTTAAAGTGTATTTGTATATATAGAGAGAGCCTTTTGAAGAACCTGTTGTGAGTTTCACATGTAGAGGGCACATGAAGAGTATACGTAAATAAAGCCATCTTGTAGCTGAAAATGTATGATGTTCTAGGCCTTCATCCTTTTGCCATTGCAGACACAGTTCATCGTCTTGTTGATGCTTGAGAAAAGGAAAGTAGACTTCTCCAGAGTAACCAGCAACTCCATGGTCCTCATAGTTTTCAGATCTCTGTGCTGTGCTCACCAGGGATGCTCTCAACCGCCCATGTCAAACAATTCATGATGATTAAACAGATAGAAAAGCAAATTGCTTTTGTGGTAGAATTGGCTTTTATTTTCCTAAGTGAAAAAGAGATCTTCACAAACATGTGGTTCAAAAGCTGTGGCTAAAGTGGAGAGACAGGCTTGAACTCATGTTCTTACCTTCATGCTAAATGAGAATGCCCTTTGCAGGCGATTGGGCCAAAGCTCATTGAGAAAACATACCTGATTTGGATGTAGAGTTGGAAATTTTCCAACTGAAAGATTGTCTTGACAATTAAACAAGAATAAGTGATTTGGAAAGAAAGAAATTGTATGAATTCTTAGTTCCATTGGTATTTCCTTAACTGTATGTAGGTTTTCTTTTTATTAACTGCATTTTTTGGAACTGGAAATATAGCTTCTATTAACAGGTAACTTTTTTATATTTATTTAGTTTTGGTTTGTGTGCGTATGTGTGTGTGTCCCTTAGAAGAGCAGAACTGCTCTTAACTGCTAAACCATCTCCCCAGTCCCTTGTCCTTGTTTTATAGTCAATAATACGATGGAGTGTAATAAGATAGATACTAAAGGAGATGAGCATAGAGACCTATTGTGTTCATTCTACTATGATTCAGTTTTATTAAGAGTTGCTTTCAGAGAATTTCTGAGTGTCCTCTTAACAGTATACCGTCAGTCATAGTGTGAATTCTAAAATCTTTACTCTTCCCTTTACCATTGTCTAGCTTTGACCTTGCCTCTGTGTATTGCTTTCTGACTGTGTTTAGTCCTTTCATGATGGGAGCACTCATGATGTGGAAGGTTAGTTTTCTAATTTTATTACTTGCATTAAATGATTGATTTAAAGGTTGTGCTGTTAAGTTTGTGTAGCATGTGGCGGTAAGATTGTAAAGTCATTGTAACAGAGATAGTCTTTCAGTCTTGGCACTGATAGAGGCAAACCTCTAACCCTTGCTTCCAGATATCGTTAGTATTTGCTTTATTCTTAAGACTATTTGACTACAAAAGAATAAGGATTCTGTTAGCCCAAGAAAATCTTATCATAGGTAATTAAAGACTCCCTGGGAGCTGTGATCAAAACTGCAGTGTTGCTAAAGATGGTAAGGTTCTCTGACCCCATGGGTCTCCAACCACAAGATGGCCACTGTGTTCTCATCTTTTCCATGTACCTCGAGCTGATGAATCCTTTCAACAGATGTGTAGTTGAGTACTCTTTTTAATGTGTTGGGCACCAGCTTAATGTTTAGAGTATCAATGTAGTTATATGTTCAGGTTTCTAGAGATAAATATTATGGTGGAATACGGTTCATCGTCTTTAATATTATGGTATTAGTTGCTTTTCTGTTGCTGTAATAGAATACCCTGACATAAAGCAAGTTAGGAAGGAAAGGGTTTGTTTTCGGTTACAATTCCAGGGAGGACACTGTCTATCATGGAAGGATGATGCAGAAGCAGAAGCATAAATCCAGCCTCAGCAGTCAGGATGCAGAGAGATCACATTTCATCTGCACACAGGAAGGAGGGAGAAAACAGGAAGTGGATCCAGACTGTAAAAAAGCCTGCCCCCAGTGATGTATTTCTTCCAGTAGGACTTGGTGATCTAAAGGTTCATAATCTTCCAAACAGTGCCAGCAGTACCCAATGTAATACATGTGTCTGTGGGGAACATTTCTCTTTCAAACCAGTATAATGGTTATACTTACCTGTTCCCGCTACCAAATTTCTCTTCTACAGTTCTTGACACATTTTATGTAGTTAGTATATATTTATTTTACTACTCAGGTACATAGGTAATAACTGTTGAAAGTGTATGTCCTTTTAGTAGGAGTTTTCTTACTGCACCAGTTGTACTGACTTTTTTACTACACTAATAGAAACGTAATTTTTAAAATGGTAAAAAGATACTGGGCATTTTCTTATGGCCCATTCTCTATTCTCTGTATATGTTTTAAAATTACTACACTGATCATGAGTTTATATCATGAATAAAATGTTTTTAAACTCAAAAAAGCAATAATAAAATAGCTGAGTCATGTTCATGGTGTTATAATATCTAACAACAAGCCAGGCCCAGAATGCTGTGAATTGAACAACAGGCTGCGTAAATAACTTGGTTTAGGCATTCTCTTTTATATGTTCTTGGAAACATGAACATTGTCATGAATCAGTAGAATGTCTCACATAGTGCAAAATTTGTAGATTTTAATTTAAAATACATGTTAATGTTTGCTGTTATTCTTCGTGTGTTGTTAGTTTTTATATCAGTGTATTCTATCTCTGTCTCCTATCAACTGGTATACATGAGTTACTTGAGAGATTGAAGGCTGCTGTATAAGCAGAACATGTTTCAGGTGCCTGTTACCAATGACATCATTTGTTGTTCCTTGAAACAGATTTTAATTCCTTTTGTTCTTGTGATGTGTGCTTTTGAAGCAGTTCAGATAACTACCCAGCTGTCATCAAAAGGGTAAGATAAATACTTAAGAAGCCTTGGGTTTCCCTACTTTTCATAAATGAGAGAATGTTTGAAGATATTTCATGTGATTGCTATTAAAGCTTTGTAACACAAATTGTTTATTATAAGATTAAGAATTTTTTTCATTTTTAAGTTTCAGCTGTCATTAGAGGAAATTGGTTGATTCGGGCCTTTAGCAAACAAATGTACTTTCTTTACAATAAAACATTAGAATGTTATTCAAGCTAGTGAAGACTCTAGAAAATCATAAATTTTAAATATTATAGTTATTTATTTGTCTCTTATGCTATAATGACACCTATAAAAAATGAAAAGGGGTATGTATCATTGCAATGTCTCTTGGCTTCTTTCTTTTTTTTTGATTAAACTAATAAAATTTATTTTAAAATATACAACTCAGTATTGACATTTTTAAAGTCATCAAAATAATTTATGAGTTAAATGCCTCTTAAATATACATGATATCTTCTGAAGCTAAAAGTAATATACACTCAACCAATTTTTAAAATCTGTTTGGAACATTAAACATGATAGAAGTAGAAAAAAATATCTTATGAAGTCTTCTATGAAAGGAAATTGTGACAAGGCCCTGATTAGACAAAAACTGTTCTATCTCTAAGGGAGACTATAGAGCATAATTGTGGCTTCATAGAATGAATTGGTAGTGTTCCTTCTGTCTCTATTTTGTGGAGTAGTTTGAAGAGTATTGGTCAAGGTCTTCTTTGAAGGTCTGGTAGAATTCTGCCCTAAACCCATCTGGTCTTGGGCTCTTTTTTGGTTGAGAGACTTTTAATGACTGCTTCTATTTCTTTAGGAGTTATGGGACTGTTTAGACGGTTTATCTGATCCTGATTTAACTTTGGTATTTGGTATCTGTCTAGAAAATTGTCCATTTCATCCAGATTTTCCAGTTTTGTTGAAGATAGGCTTTTGTAGTAGGATCTGATGGTTTTTTTTTTAAATTTCCTCAGTTTCTGTTGTTATGGCTCCCTTTTCAGTTCTGATTTTGTTAATTTGGATACTGTCTCTGTGTTAGTCTGGCTAAGGGTTTATCTATCTTGTTGACTTTCTCAAAGAACCAGCTCCTTGTTTCGTTGATTCTTTGTTTAGTTCTTTTTGTTTCTACTTGGTTGATTTCAGCCCTGAGTTTGATTATTTCCTACAGTCTACTCCTCTTGGGTGTATTTGCGTTTTTTTGTTCTAGAGCTTTCAGGTGTGCTGTCAAGTTGCTAGTGCATGCTCTCTCCAGTTTCTTTTTAGAGGCACTCAGAGCTATGAGTTTTCTTCTTAGCACTACTTTCATTGTGTCCCATAAGTTTGGGTATGTTGTGCCTTCTTTTTCATGAAATTCTAAAAAGTCTTTAATTTCTTTATTTCCTTGACCAAGTTATCATCGAGTAGGGTGTTAGCTTCCATGTGTATGTGGGCTTTCTGTTGTTTTGTTATTTTGTTGGCGTTTTTCATCTATTATCCTTTGTAGGGCTGGATTTGTAGAAAGATACTGTGTAAATTTTTCTGTGTTTTGTCATGGAATATCTTGGTTTCTCCATCTATGGTAATTGAGACTTTTGCTGGGTATAGTAGCTTAGGCTGGCATTTGTGTTCTTTTAGGGTCTGTATAGCATCTACCCAGGATCTTCTAGTTCTCATAGTTTCTGGTGAGAAGTCTGGTGTAGTTATGATAGGTTTGCCTTTATATGTTATTTGACCTTTTTCTTCTTACTGCTTTTAATATTCTTTCTTTGTTTCGTGCATTTGGTGTTTTGACTATTTTGTGATGGGAGGGATTTCTTTTCTGGTCTAGTCTATGTAGAGTTCTTTAAGCTTCTTGTATGTTTATGGGCATCTCTTTATTTAGGTTAGGGAAGTTTTCTTCCCTATAATTTCTATAATTTTGTTGAAGATATTTACTGGCCCTTTAAGTTGGGAATCTTCTCTCTCTTCTATACCTATTATCCTTAGGTTTGGTCTTCTCATTGTGTCCTGGATTTTCTGGATGTTTTGTGTAAGGAGCTTTTTGCTTTTTGCATTTTCTCTGACTGTTGTGTCATTGTTTTTTTGTGGTCACTTATGCACCTGAGATTCTCTCTTCTGTCTCTTGTATTCTGTTGGTGATGCTTGCATCTATGACTCCTGATCGCTTTCCTAGGTTTTCTGTCTCCAGGATTCCCTCCCTTTGTGATTTCTTTATTGTTTCTATTTCCACTTTTAGATACTGGATGGTTTTGTTCAATTCTGTCACCTATTTGGTTGTGCTTTCCTGTTATTCTTTTAGGGATTTTTGTGTTTCCTCTTTAAGGGCTTCTAGTTGTTTACCTGTGTTCTCCTGTATTTCTTTGAGGGAGTTATTTATGTCCTTCTTAAAGTCCTCAGTCATCATCATGAGACGTGATTTTAAGAGTGTTGCTTTTCAGGTGTGTTGGTGTGTTCAGGACTTGCTGTGGTGGGAGAACTGGTTTCTGATGATGCCACATAGCCTTGGTTTCTGTTGCTTATGTCCTTGCCCTTGCCTCTTGCTATCTGGTTATCTCTGGGGGTTAGGAGGTCTTGCTGTCTCTGACAGTGGCTTGTCCCTCCTGCAAGCCTGTGTGTCAGTAGTCCTGGGAGACCAGTTCTCTATGGGAAGAATTTGGGTATGGAGAGCTGTGGCACAGAGTCAGCTCCAGGGTGCAGACAGAAGCCGGAAGGATCTTGTCCCCAGCTGTTCTTGGATCCCTGTGTCCTCATGGCTCTGAGTGGGTCCCTCTTGGGCCAGGAATTTGAGCAGAAGTGGTGGTCTTACCTGTGCTCACAGGTGTGTGGCACTCCTGGGAGACCAGCTCTCTCCTGACAGTGTTTGAGTATGGAGAGCTGTGGCACAGGATCAGCTCCTGTTGCAATGGAAATAGGAAGAGGCTTATTTCTTAAAAATGTATTAAACAAGTTGGGTGTGATGATGCACACTTCTAATCCCAGCAAATGGGTTGCAGAGGCAGGAGGATCTCTGTAAGTTCAAGGCCAACCTGGTTTACAAAGTGAGTCCAGGACAGACAGAGCTACAAGAGAAACTCTGTCTCAAAAGACAAATGAAAAAAAAATCATTAAACAAATCTGTTAACCTCATTTCACATACATGTGTTATCATTAACCTTTCTGTATATCAGTAATTTGTAAAAATACACATTGACAAATGTGTGCAAAAGATTCTGAGTTTTCAGATATATCTGAAGCTATCAATTTTCAGCATTCAATATTCTGTAAGAAAAATTGCTTTTTTTTAATCCAATAAAATTACCTCATCAGAGATTCTCTATACAGAGATTCTCTGAAAAACACTTATAAATAGAGTTTTATAAGTGAATCAAGCTGGCTCCGTCAGTGCTAAAAGGATGAATAGTTTTAACATAAATTTGCATGTTTTCTTGATGAGCTTAAACTAGAACTCAGTTTAGCTTGCTAGTGTGTGTGTGTGTGTGTGTGTGTGTGTGTGTTATATATTTTTTCTAAGATTTCCTTCCACTGCTTAGAAATAGTGAAAATGTTATTTTTAGTTTAAAAGAAAATAGTCTTTGAGGATATTTACATGAATTTAATAGTGAAAACATGTACTCATCAGTATCCTACAGGTGACAGTTGCTTAGATGCAACAAAAACTAGTAAGTGATATAGCATGCCTTCCTGCATCTTTGTTAGAAGACAAATTTTTCAGAAGGAAATTTAAATAAGCCTTGTATAAAAGGAACTGGGGCAATGGAATGAAAACAGAAAGCTCACCGATGTGTGTGTTCTGTATACAGGTTTTTGTGTGCCTTTGTATGGTAATTCTGTGTTGAGGCTAATGCAAGGAAACCCTAAACACAGAGCCTGGAAACAGAGGCGGCAAAATCAAAGGCTTTAAAACCTATCCTCTCATTCGACCTTTAAGCCCTGAAAGGCATTGACGTTCCCTGTGTACAGGAGCTCCTCGTGTTTAGTGTGCCGTCCTTTGAACTCAGTGAATCCATTGTTCTATTGACAGACAGCTCTGACTCTCTCTTCTCTACCTAGCCACGGAAGTCAGGCTACAACTTCCCTCACTGCGTGTCTGTGTCTTAGTTCTCCGTCATGTCTGTCCCTCCTCTCCCTTTACCTTCAGAGTTACTTTATTTTTGTTGCTAAACATCTTTGAATTTTTAAAAATCTGAGGGTAAAGGAAGCTTTATTTACATTCTGGTTGTTTATTATACCCACACTGCCAAAATGTAAGTTGAATGTAACACACCAGTAAGATGACTTTACCTCCATTTCTCCTCACCCACTCTTTAAAATATGTATTAGACAAAATGAGGTACAAAAGCCAAATTAGCATTATTTTCTTTTATATGACTTAAAGTGAACTTTTTTAATTGCCATTTATTTATCTTATTCCTCAGTCTTTATAACTGAGCTCATCATAAACCCTTGGTTATTTTGAATAGAGGCCATAAAGTGACCTGTGGCTGTGAAGGTCACCTGTTAGAGGGTGGGCTGACTGAGGATGCTGCGGACTGTAAGCAGCAAAATTAGCAGTGAGCATGGTTTCTGTGGGGAGTCTGCCTGGTGCTCTCCGCAGCCCTACTTTCTGTCCTTCCACTCTCATGGTCTAGCTTTAATCTCCCTGAGTTATTGACGATATTGTTCAAAATTGGGTTCTAATGTATGTGAAAGGTATGCCTATTACATTGATGTAAATTTTTTTCTTTACTTTTCAGCCTTTTTCTTGTTGTTCTCATCATATCAGACATCATGGCATTGGTAAGGCACTATAGAATATTTGGTGTAAGTCAGATTGAGAAACTTAAGTTCAATATCTATTTAGTAGGGAGAAATATGAATACATTTCTGTAATGAAATCTTTATATACTGAGTTCCAAATGATGGCTGTTTACATAGGTACTTATGCAGAAACACTTCTCAGATTGTCAAACTTTTTTCCGTTACTTGACTTGGTCAGGCTGTCCTTCATGCTTAGTCTTTCAGGTTGTTCTCATTTGTGTCTGAAATGAACCTTTCATAGATTAACAGAAGAATACAATTTCAGATTTAGAGAACCCATCACTCATTTTTGAAAGACTAATATTCTTTTTTAGTCTTCTCAGATTAAAAAGGAAAGAAAAGAAGGAGTGAGTGAATGAAGGAATAGGGAATTACAGCTTTGTCAACTGGGAAGTGTTATCAGTTAATACGTATAATCAGTGAATTCTAAGTAAGGGACTTACAGGTAGTCTTAGCGCATATAAAGCGTGACTCTGTCTGGGTATTTGAAGAATTCTCATCTCGACTTCCAGGTTTGGTAGTTCTCTACAAGCCATCACAGAACTTGCTGAATCCTCCTGTACTCTCAGTTCTGGTTTACGACAGTGAGATCACATAGATAAGTCAGCCAGAGAAATTTCTCTGTCTAGTAGAATGCGGAGTTCTCTTGTTTTCTCCAGTGGAGTAAGGACAACGCTATTTATCCCTCAGCACAAAGTGTGACAATACACGTGGAACACTGCCAGCCTACACTTTCCTTTTCTTTTTAATGGGTCTTGGTCAACAGAGCACACTTGGGTTGACTGACCATTAATCTCCAGACCTTTCAAGGGTTGAATCACACCATACTGCCCAGAGATCCCATCATAGATCATATTTTAGACTGGTAACCATTGTCTCAGGCAAAGTGCTTCATCAGGCATTCCAGGGGTCTGGAAGTCACCTCTCAGTAGCAGAGAGCCATGCCTCTTTTAAGTTATGATTAGTACCTGGCCATGTATCTACTAAGTAATTTCTCAAATCTGATTGCTGGCCCCTTGATTTAGATGAAAGCATTTTTGTATTTTCTTCAACTAAGTATCTAGTATATTTCTTAAATTGACCACATACGATGTTAGAACAATATCATCATTCAAAAATGACAAATAGGCAAGAATAGACAAGAATTGAATGTTTCTGCTTGATTTCATGTTAAGAATCGTTCAGTTTAAGGTGACAAACTGTTTCAAATCCAGCTTCATTGGCTGGAATACTTTTATATCTCTCCTTGTTTTCCATGAACCTACTAAACTTGACCTGGGCTCCTAGTATTTAACAAGCTAGCCCCTTTGCCCAGAAACAACTTCCTTATCTCTCTAATTTTCTCTTTATGTGATTTCTACTTTTCCCTTAGATTTTACCTTCCTCTGTTTCTGTATCTCTCACATATACGAGCACACACAAATGCATTTACACACATAATACTTTGAATGGTTCAATAGATTATGCAAAATTTTCTCTAGACCCTGGCAGTGAGTTTATTCAGTTTGTTGATGAACAGATGATGTGGCTTCAGTTGGACCTTTGGCATATTTAGTATTTTAATTACAGTTGGTTGGATTTTTTTATTATTCACAAACACCACTTTGTGTTCATTTGATTGAATCTCAATTCCTTTTGTGGCCTTTCGGCAGTTGCTTATTTAATACAAACAGAAGTTGCAGTTAAGGGTATATCCTTGTGGATTCTGGGCATAATATGATTCTAGGGTGGTCAGAAATGTCAAATATTCACCCTGAAAACACCTTTGTTTATAGATTGCAACTAAATAGTCTTTGCTTTTAATGAAGTCATATTATGTTATCTTTTACAGCATTTTTTCTTCTTGGTCAAGGATTCTGGCAGCTGGCTGGATATTGGAACAAGGTATTGTATTATACATAGTCACAAGGACTTGCTAAAAGTGGCTTGGTACAGGTGTCAATCTAACTGTGAGACATGTACAGGATCTTACAGCTCTGAGTTGAGATAACCTTTTTCTAATTCTTGATATGAACACACTGGCAGGTATTTTCATGGGTTGCTGTGGGCTAGGAGGATGGATGTTTAGTATGGAGAGAACTGGGGCAGCAGGAAGATTTAAGACAGAATCCTGAATCTGGAGTCTCAGAGTTACCCCAGTGTCCTTGTGTGTTCTTACCTGAGAAAGGCAGTGAGGTTGGCATCAGTGGGGACCAAAAGCTAATGGCTTCTGGCAATTTAACTCCTGCTGATATCAGCAGGAGAATGAAGAATAGAAACTTTGTTACTTAGACTCTTTTCTGTTTGACTCATAGGTCTCTCCCTGATCAGGTGAGAGACTTAGGGATCCTTAATTCTTGATGAACCAGAAAGAAAAGAGAAAGTCAGACCACACATAGTCACACATATACTGGGTAAGGCAGAAAAGAGCTTTATTGTTATTCTTAGTTTTTATACCTTTTCAGTATAATTGATCACCTGGTTTTTAAATCATTTTTACATTGTATGAGTTCATAGTAAGTTGAAGTTCATGTCATAGGGTGGTAAGGCTGAAGGAGCCACAGCAGAATTGTTTCCATGTCTTCCATTAAGACTGGTACCTGGCTAGCACTCATTATCTATTCTCTAGCTCCAGAAGTTCATTATAAGTTTAAAGCAACAGTTTTTATGTCATAAATTGGCACAGTTTTTTCAAGACAAATCATCTGCCTTTGTGTCTTATTATTCTGAAGTCTTGTATAAATAATCCATCATTTATTTTCTGTTCTTGCACCTACAATAAATTGTCCATTCCTAGTTTATGACCTTTAGTTACTAGATAGTGGACTCATTCCTAACCTAAAAGGAATGCTTTCCTTCATCATAAATTTGTTTCAAGCCTGTTTGTTTTCCAAGTACAATTAAATTAGCGCATGACAGTAGAGGTTTACAGAACTCTACTTGCAGCTTTTATTCTATAGGGGGATTGAGATTACTTGTGTTAATTTAGGAGTTCTATAAAATCATTATCAGAAATCCTGAAATCATCAATACATCTACACAGCATTACAAAATGAATGTACATCTTCATATTGATTCTGCAGGAGATCTGCCCAATAGGGCGGGCTTATGTAATAGTGACAGGAAAAGCACATCAGCAGCGAGAAGCAATCCTGGGGTGAAGTTACTGGGGACTTTGCCTCCAGGGTGCACCCATCACAGCCATGCAAAATGGGGCTGTCTCCAGAAACTCACTTGCTTTCCATAGCCTTTCCTAGATGACTTCTAACAATCATCTGCCCTTTAGAACCTTAAGGAACATTGTGACATGCTGTTTATCTGAAACATGATCTGAGCAAGTCAGTTTCCTCTTTCCTGTGTTTGATTATCACTTGCAGTGATATATTCTTCTTTCTGAGAAGAAGAAAGCAAAATTGATCCTCCTATTTTTTTGCCCCAAATAGATTCTGAGATAGAATTTGTTTTTATAAACTGATTTCATTTACTTAATATTTAGTCACACTTTGAGCTTCTAGGAATTTCTGTGGGTTTATATAAGTGTATACATTAGACATCCCTCTCAAAGCTCCTAGCTTGTACCTGTCTGCCTTTCCAGATACACTAGATGCTCTCAGAGCTGGTGTCTGATGTGCATCTACATAAAAAGCTAGGCATAATGACAGGTTTCTAATGCACATGTGAGCAGCACCAATTGAACGTAGTTGGTTTTAGAAAGAGAGTGGACAAGACTAGGAGAGAGAGGTGGGCATGAAGGGAAGATTAGAAGAGGGAAATGAGGATATGTGCAGTCATATTTCATGATATACAAACATGGAAAGGGGGCAAAACATCTGGCATAGTGACATGTGCCTGTGATGGAGGCTCAGAGCTGGATGGTCCCTGAGACTTGCTGGGCAGCTAATCCTATGCAGTCCATTAGTTACAGGTTCAGTGTGAGACCCTCTGTGAAAAATACAGTGGAGAGCAATAGAGAGAGACATCCAATACTAAACTCTGACTTCTGCACACACACATGCACACACACACACCCATACCCACCTGTAAATGAACATGTGACATGCATACCACCTACACAGACACAATCTCATATGCAGAGAGAGAGATAAAGAGATAAAAAGATACATAGCCCCATGACTTAGCCACTCAATTTTGGGGTATTTATCTAAGAAAAGGAAAAATATGGACAGAATGAATTATATAGGAGTTTTTATAGCAACTTTGTTCATAAAACCAGTTATGAATATATGAGTGGATAAATTCATTCTGCTGCATCTAGACAGTAGATAACCACTTGCCAGTAAAAATGATTGATTGATTGATTGATTGATTGATTGATTGACAGCCTCATGGACAGAGCTCAGAAACTACCATGATTGAAGGTAACCAGATATATAGGGGTGTACAGTATATTGTTTCCACTTATATAAAATTCCAATCTCTATTTCCAGAAAGCTAATCAATAGTTCTAGAGGTCTGAGGGGTGTGAGGTTGATTCAGAGGTACATGTGGGAGCTTCTGTGGGAATGGAAGTATTCCAGATGTCTTGAACACAATGGTGGCCACATGGGTGTACTGTCTGTCAACACTCAGATAACTGGACACTGAAAATAGTTCTATTTTCTCACATGGAACTTTTACTTCAAACTCAGTTGATAAAGAGAAACAGAACTAAGGTAGCTATATGAAATTGAAATGAGCATGACACAAGATAGGTTAAGTCCTCTTCTCTCCTATCAGGGTCATAAACTCTTTTTAATTGATGTTCAGTAAACAGAAGCTTGAAGATACTAACTCATGCTAGGGAGGACACCACCTTCTAAAAGATTACAAAGAGAACTAGAGCTGCTGCTCTGAGAAACAAGAAAGAAGGAGTGCGCTCTTTACTGATCGCTGTTCCTTTTCCCGTCTGCTTCTTAGTACTGCATTTCCTGCTGGAAGTGAAGAGTGCTTCAGTGGCAGTGGAGGCAGGAAGCGGAAGTCAGCCTGGGACACTCTTTGAAGCTTAATTAGAAAGGGGAAGAGATGTGTGCAACATTTGTGTTGGGGATACTGTCCCATCGTTCACAGGGAGATTTTATCTTCATTTCATGTATTACGGCTGTGAGGACTGTTATAGTTAAACGTGCACGTCCCTTGGTTCATCCCGTCTGATTATCCTCTTTCAAAGTGAGTTTCTGCAGGCAGTGGAGGGTCCAAGTGATGTGCCGAGAATCGCCCGTGACTCAGAGTAGGGTTGTACATTGAAGTTCACACCCCGCCTGCCGTTGACTGTTTGGATGGTGGATCCTCAAAGGCAGTATAGTGACAGTTCACAAGCTCGGAGTCCATCTAGCGTAGGCCAAGTAACAACAACAACAGAACACTCACATTTGACTAGAAGGTCCAGGATGGGATTGCACTGAGTCACACTTGGAAGGACGGAAGGAATGAAGGAAGGAAGGAGGGAGGGAGGGAGGGAGGGAAGGAAGGAAGGAAGGAAGGAAGGAAGGAAGGAAGGAAGGAAGGAAGGACTACATTTGTATTATGCTATATTATTTACAGTATCTCCCAACACATTATGTTATGCACTTTCCATCCCAATATGTAGATGTTACCTTACCCAACAGATGTATTTGCTGTCTCCATCTGACCCTGCCATCCTATGGAGATTGCAGTTGGTTCACACTATAATACATATTTGAGCTTAGAGGCAACACTTTGATAGTGGAGGCTCTGGTTTTTTTCATTGTCCCCTCTCTGTCTGGATTTAAAGAGAATTTGTCACATGATGTGTTTTGTACTAAAATAAGCCTTTTTACAAAACCATCCAAAATTGGGACTTTGAGCTAGTTATGGTGGCCATCCCAGCTACTGCGTGAAGATGGCAAGTCTAGCACTAGTTTCCACGAAAACTAGCTCAGAACTGAGTGAACTGAGGCTGCAGATGTTAGCTCAGTGTTAGAATACTTGTAACATACACCAGACTTGCTTCATGCCCCAGTGCTGTTTAGAAAATGGTGGCTTTGTGTCTAATGGTGTTTGTAATTTTTACAGAGGGATTTTTCACCATGAAGTTTAGAATTATATAAATTAAGCGTTTAAACAGAGAAAGAATGGTATATCTGGATCATGTACTGATGCTGGTTTTAGTTTTGTATGGGTTTCCTTAGTGATTATACTAAATTGTCTTTCTATCAATAAAGACTCATTTCCCACACCACATCCTCGCTTATTTTTGTATCTGCATTGAAAACTGTTCTGACTAGGAGAGTCAGACAGTCTCAGTGTTGTTTTGATTTGCATTTCCCCAGCGGCCCAAGTGAAAAGTGGGCACTTTTCTCAGGCAGTTACCACAGTGTGTTCTTTTAACAAGTGCCTTTGCAGTTCTCCCACTCTGTAGGCTTTCTCTTTATTCTCTTATAATTGGCTGCAAACTTACTTGTTGACTTTTGCATAGTATTTCCTGAGCTTTTTAGTCCTATTCAGGAAGTCATTCTCTATGCCTAAAGCCAGAAGTGTTTTCCCTGCATTTTCCTTTGGTTGTGCCATAGTTACCGATACATTCCAGTCTTTGGCCCATTTTGAGTTAAGGTTAAAAAGAGATTTAGGTTCAGTGTTATGTATGAGATATCTGCTTCCATTTGCTTAAAGCCTGTCAGTCAGAACTCTGTTCAAGAATGGAGTCATGAGAGGGAAATTCTGAGTGCTTGTGAGAAAACTCCAGGAGAACAAGACAAGTCTTGTGACCTCAGTTTCAATAAAACATGGAATTGCTCTTGGAATGTGCTTTCATGCCCCTCCCAGGTGCAGCAAATAGGAGTTTAGAGTATTCATTACAACTGGCTATTGTTATTTGTATATATACTTCTATGGAAAAACATGTTTTTGACATGTGATGCTTGTCCTTGTGCTTACATACAGCTTGA